GCGATCTGAAATCAATGTTCTTTTCATTTATCATTTCATCACTTATTAGCTACTAACCGTTCGGGCGGTTGGTCTGTCCTTTATTACTTTGGCATTACCTTCATTGTCCAGCAGTGTTAGTACAAGAGGAAACAAAAGCACCCAGAGAAAACTCGTTATGTTTGGTAGGACCAGACGTGTGTCTCGAGCTAGAACTCGAAGAGAGATGCACGAGTTAGCGTTGCACCACCAACATCCTGGCCAGACTTGATACTCTATAACAGACAATTGCGGGAAAGGAGACGTTTCTAAGCTGTGGAATTTCAAAACAGTGAAAAAATAATAATAATTGGGATGGCATTTGACGTTGTGTGCGTCTAAACATAATTTAATTAACTATGATACCGTATAAACTCCTCACCTTGTTCTCGCGTATTTGTTAAATCACTACGAAACATTGGCCTATAATAGACTTCAAAACAAGTAAATCATTAAATAAAAGACCGTGTTTTAAACTACACACACACTCATAACTAACTAATGAGAATACTGACCGTGTCTCCTGAACCCTGTAGGTCTGCCTAATTTCCACCAGGCTCAGTCAAAATAAAAAGGTACGCTGACTGACTCTCTGGACTGAGAAGTGACTTGCAGACCCTGGGACACACACTGGTTCAGGTATTTATATGACGAACAAATATGCGAGAGTGAGAAGGAGAATTCAGTGTTCTTGGCATGATTTTTTTCCCGATATATAAACAAGAAGTAAATTGTATCGATTCTTGTTTCATTCATATTTGTTTTTCTTTACTAGTGATACAAGATGCACTGAAATTTTATACATACAGTATATAGTATTAATTATATAGTATTAATTTCAAAATATATGTTCAGAGAATTATACTGTACTGGTTTTCATATATATATATATATATATATATATATATATATATATATATATATATATATATATATATATATATATATATATATATATATATATATATATATATATATATATATATATATATATATATTATACCAATTGGTTTGTTCGCAGTGTGAGTAGTGAAAACCCTTAACAATTTGCTTCCGTCTTGATCTAAATTGACTTTCACTCACTACTGTAACTAAATTTCGTCGGTGATGTATGACTAGGCGAGGACACAGGGCGAGTGAGTGTGTGTCCGTAGATGAAAAAGAAGTCCTGCCAGGATGGGAGCATGATTCCTCTCGTCCACCTTGAAGCCTAAACACCTTCCTTCCCCTAACAAGGTGAAGAGAGAGTTGGCTAAGAATTAAGTTAAAATAGGTTAGGTGTGGTTAGGTTTGGTAATATCGAATAACGTTTAGTTAATAATACGTTATTAGGTTACTAAGATCGGGTTAAGTTAGAGTATATAAGGTTAGGTTAAGTATGGTTTGAAAATTTTCAGTAACATTTACAGGTATTTTAAATAAATTAATTAGATTATGATAAATGGGATTAAGTAGACTCGGGGAAGATCCAAGTTTTTTTAAGGAATGGTCAACTAGAGTATAACCATATACCTTTGACACAGCCTTGTTCAGTGGCATCATAACTCTCAAACATTAAAAAAAAATTCTCTGTCCGGTACTGTTTGTTTTATTGTACACGAGGAGGCTTCCTTGTAACACATCTGTCCTTAGCTTTACTGTTCCTATATCTTTATATGGAGAGGCAGAGATCTCATCTTTTCATGCTTCACTTGATGTATTTTATCTTGTAATTTTATGGAACTCTTCAGTGCAGTGGCCAAATGGGTACAAAGCTCACTCCCTGTCCTGTGGGTTCATGCTCAGAGCATCCCTAGATCACCCAGCTGTGAAAGTGTTGGGGAAGTGAAAGTCATTTGAAGAATTGCCAGCCACTTTGCCTGCTTTCTGATAGAAGACTTGGTATACAGTGTGCTGTACCCACACTGCCCCTAATTGGCTGTCAGATCTATGCACCACATTTTTGAAGGTGTACCACATTGCATATTCACATAAACATATTTTACAAACTACAGTGGAAGAAAATTAGTTTTGGGCTTACTATCATTGGCATAAAACTATTAAGATATAAAGTAAAACAAAAATAGAGCATATTAAATTATTTTATTGAAGAATACATTATGTTGAAGGAAGATTTTCAATACAATATTAAATTCAACTCTGCTGTAACACACTCTTAGTATATTCAAGTCAAGTAAAGACGCATAACAATACACAAACCAAAACACTGTCAAAATTCTTAAAACCGTTGAATCAATTTTAATCAGATAAAAAAAAATCCTTAACAGTACGAGTCATAAGAAAAGGGCAGGCAATTGCAAGGTTTTATGGGAGAATATGCACAGGTAACTGCAAATTCCCAGGTGTGGAAGGACTAATACAGCCTGCAATAACTGTGAGAACTGGGCAAAGGAATGCAAGGTAACCTGTACCAAATTGATATTAATACATCTGATGAAGGATTGTAAGTTTTATAAGAGTGGACGGAATGAACTACACCCAAATGTAAAAGTGAATGATCGCTAAAGATGAGGTGTTCAAGTTAATGTTGTAGGATAATTTTAAAGTACTGTATACGCAAAAAGAGAACAGGAGGATGCAAATATGTAAAAAGGGATGCTAAAAGAGAGGATGGTTAAGAGAGTGTACATGAGCACTGTAGCAGGTGCACTGGGCAGGCATTAAGAGATGGAAATTGGTATAATACTTTGAAGAGAAGCCAAGGGAGGGATAAGGAAAATAGAGAGGGTAGAGGAAGATTGTTGGAATAGGACACCCACCACCTCCCTGGAGGAGTGAGCATCATACATAACAATGGAACTGTTGAGGGAGAAACATGATAATATGCACACAAAAAGATACCTAGAGCCATCAGTGTTGTGGCTGCTTCCTGCCTCCCCACCTCAGACCAAAGCTAAAATCACTAGGGCTCACCAACAGTATATAAAGAACTTTTTCATGAAGTTTGGCTGCTCTATACCTAACAATTTAATTACTGTGTGTAAACCACATGTCTACACACAGTAACCACCATGATTATATGCCCTCAAACCTTTTCAGAGAGACTATGTAAAGGCTCTACAAAGGAAACTTTAAATGCTTATTTGTGTCTGTTGAAGAATCTGCAACCATAAATCTACATTAAATATGGGTAACCAATTAACTTATTTTAATTACAATTAATTCATATAGATGTACACTAGGTAAAAAAATCTACCGTACAGGTTGGGTCCGATGATATTCCAAGTGAACATTCCTGTTGTCTCGCGAGGGTTGGTAGGCCTGAATGCGAGACATTCCATACTTAATTAGGTAGACCGAAATTAGCTATTTCAATGACAATATTGAATTACTTTGTTACAATATGACTGGAGAATGTCAGTATATCTAGATAAGCTAAACTGTATGTTATATTAAATGTTCCACACACCGTGGACTACAGTAACCTTGGAAGTGGATGAGTTGCCATATAGGAATACATTATATGTTTGGCAGAATTAGTGGATATAGTAAAGGTATAAGATTATTTTGCAACCGAATTTTGAATCTGTATTTGTATTGCTACTTCACTTTGGGCTAATGCCACATCATGTCATTCTTTATTCTTATTAGAAAATATACCATACTGTTCTGAAACATCTGAATAGCTCCACAGTTCAAATAACATATACAGTGGGGTATGCTATAACGAATCTAATTGGTTCTAGAACCTTGTTCGTTATAGCATTCGTTCGTTATAGGATTAATCCGTTCCAGGCCCCCAAATACAACCACTTAACACTGAAAAATATAATATTAAATTGTAAAAATTGTAAAAAAGTGCATAAATATGCATCTAAACCCTTGAAATAAAGAATATAATTAATACTTGTAATACAGAAACAATAAATTAGTAAAAAAAAAAAATTATAATGTTCGTTGTACGAGTTTCGTTCGTTATAGCATTATCAATTTTATAGGTAAAACCGTTCTTTGTAGGAATATTCATAGTAGGATCCATTCGTTATAGCATACCCCACTGTACATTCTTTATGTATGATATCAGGAAATGTTGGTAACACTAATTATGTAAATCACAATATTAGGCTGCTACAACACCACTCACAATGTGTATTCAAAATGGAGAAATGAGGCATAGAGTTCCGAACAAGTTTCAAATTGTGTTAGTGTGGCACTAGTTTCGAGCCCATACACGCACAGGGCTACCAAAGCGAGGAAAGCCTCAGGGGCCTTTTTGAAACATTAGTTTGTAGTGTCAGTTTGTTTCGCGCAGGAATTGTAACGGTAGTATTTTTACCGAGTGTACAACGTACACAGAAAATGCATTTTTGTACATACAGTAAATCAAATATTTCTTACTATTTATGTAAAGAAATCCCTGAATATTTGAAAAAGGTCATTAAAAAAATATTGATGAACCTCAACAAATGAGGTTTAATACAAATGATTTAGGCATTTCATCTTTAAAAAAAGAATTTATCCCACAAGAATAGTATTTAAGGCTGTTGTGGTCAGCTATGTTCCATTTATTCCATCTTTGTACTGTGGGTTTTTTTAGTGTGTACTTTGTTGGTAATAATCACCACTTGATTACCGTATAGTTTTCCATGTTGTGTTTACCTTTCTCTTGTATTGCTCCTGTCAATAAATGTAGTTCAGATAGTTTGTGCTGTTCTCTTATTACTCTATTGCTCTTTTATTTTTTGCTAAAGGTATTTTTGCTACAGTTGCTCTTTTCGGTAGAGTTAAGTCTTTGGATTACATACTATACTGTACTGTACTGTATATCTTTTGCACACAGTTTTGCGACTTACTGTAATTGCCATCCTCCCAATCCTCTCATGTTGTCATTATCAACCCAACTAATTTTCTGAATTCAGTTCACGTTACAGTAAGTATCAACCAAATTACTACTGCAGTACAGTGCTATAATTTAGTTGTTACTTCTACTGCTTTACTTTTTGTTACCACATCAGCCACAACTGGTATTAATAATCTACTGGTGATTGTTAAGTTCTATATTGAGTTGTAAGATGACACGATCCGTTGGTATGCATAAGAAATATTCTGAACCAGAGAGTAGCCATACATGTTATGATGGGAGAGCATGATATGTGGTTTGTGGGAACGACACAAAAGTTAAACATGATTGAATGACAGGAAGGAAGACTGTGTTTGTTTCTCGCCACCCTGCATCATGGTGGGAAAAGCCTTGCTAGAATGACAAAAGAAATACTGAATCACATCGGGGGGGTTTTCAATGTTAAGGTTGCTGCTCTCACTATTCTTATGACAGAACATTCAAAATGGTGTAATTTCCATTGTCGGACAAGTAAAAATCTTTTTCTGATAGTGCTGGTTTTTACCATTCATAATACAGTACTGTACTGTATTGTATTGGACTGTAATTTCAGGATTTCAAAATCAAGAGATGTCATCCAATGTTGTCAAGTTAAGGTGAACTTGAGACTTTCTTCACATATTTTTTCTTATTACATCTATGTGTACATACATCATGCTGACTCTATAAGCAATGAGAATGACAGGAAAACTGTAAGCTTTAGATAAATGGAAAAATTCAAACAACAGTGACTTCCTTCAGATCTATGAATTTGATTAAACTGCTGTCTCGAGAACCTCTCATATCAACCATATCAATTACCTATATTTTATAGTTACACACACATGGTGGAAACACCTCCATTTTAAAACTGACCTGGGTATATTGAGAATTTCTTCAAAATTTACACATGAAGAATAAAGCACAATTTGCAAGCTCAAGAAATCAAAAAACAATTTCACCAAATACTGTAACTGGAGAAAATAACTAACAATTATATTGACAAGGTCTAAACAAAGTATGATAGCTGAAAAAGTCAGCACCATTTACAGTAAGTCCTCACTTAACATTGTTCCAGACAACATTTTCATTATGTTGCTACTCTTTAAATACCCATGATTCCAACAACGTGTTTTACCGACCACCCCAAGTCATTATAACATCACTAACATTGTCACCCAGCACGGAATACTTTGTATGGCACACAGAATAAGGCCTCTCGCATCTTACTGCGCTACACTCTCTCTCACATCATAGGCATCCCCAAGCGTCTTCTTCCCACTCCTTCTTAAGCTAGCTTCCAGTGTCCAAGTAATGCAAGTGTTTTAAACCATTTTGATAGAGGTGAACGTGCTGTGGACATTGGTGTAGTATTTGGCCTAAACTCCACAACAGTGCACAGTATCTGGACCAACAAAGACAAGATTAAGGGCCATCGGTGAGTACAATACAAAATTGCTGTTTTATCTTATTAATTAAACATTTAGTTTGTTTATTTTTTTGGATAATATATATTTCCTATAAAAATTCCATTGAATTTATATATACTGTATATATGTAATGTATTTTATAGGGCAAAAGGAGGCTGGGGAACAGAACTAGCATATTTTATCTAGTTCTTATGGGAAAAATTTATTCCATTAACATTGTGGTTTACAAGAACGAAACATGACCTAAAGCGAGCACTTGTTGTATTTGATTAAATGTGATGGAGAAATGTAGATAAATACGGAGTTATTTTGTTAACTGAAGGTCAAAGCATTTGCCTATTATACAGAGAAGTTTTAATTGAATATAATCATCATATACTGTATCTATGAGGCACAAGAGCACCAAAGAGCATTTATTTCCAGATTTAATTTCTACAGTTAGTTCCTCATTTACAAATTTATGCAAAATCCTGAAAAATACAAATAATCATTGACCAAAAAATTACTTACTACAACACGCCCAGTTTTGTTTCATATTCTTTCAACTGGTCAATAAAGCCAGCATTTGGCCTTATAAATGACCTTTTGGATTTCACAAACTTAAAAGCTTCATCAAAGCTCATCCCATAGTGCCTCATTAAATAAGCTATTACAATTGAGGCCGAGCGTGACACACCAGCATTGCAGTGAATCAGGACACATCCACCAGAAACAACTGCAGTGTGGATGTAGTCACAACACTCATCAAAGATATCAATTATTCGGCAGCCTGGCACATCATAGACCTCTTTAGTCTTGTAGGTAAACCAGCCTTCAAAGAGATTAATTATACCAGTGGCAACATTTAGTATGTGGGTGATTTTATTATTGGTTAGAATGTCGAGGTCATGAGCAACATCTTGTGACCCTAAGATGACTCTGTTGAGGACGTGGCAGTAACGGAGATCAGGTTTAGTGTCCACCACAAAGCCAAGGCTGGTGGAAGGCAGAGTCAACACTTTACGAGATCCATCGGCACACAGTTCCTCAATCTTAGACTGCCCATCAGGAGTAGTCACCTGTGTCTGAGTGTGTCGCAATGCTCCCTTTTTGCTGGCCAATTGTTGTGCTAAACTTGACATTTTTTTTTGCTTTTACAAATTACAGTTCACAAAAAAGATAGTAATAATATTTTGCTTTATTACAAAGAGATATAGAGTAGTGATTTTATTAAATGGAATATATACACAATTCTCACATGTAAAGAAACTTCATAACTCCTGTAAGTTGTTTCACCGTTTGGTGTTTTTTCTTTGGTATAACACAATGACAATATCCTTTCATTAAAAACTTCTTTCTACTTGTACAATTAATTTATTCATTATGTATGAAACACATTTTTCATTAAGTACACATATTTCATCGAGGACTGAATATATTTACATGTTTCCAGAGCTCACAGTGCAGTAATCTTATTCAGATCCCTTTCTATCTTACATCATTTTCACAACTGTTTTCATCCTGGTGTGTTTTCATTTTTTCATCACCATCATCATCACCAACAGCGTGTAAACTGTCCACACACAAGACATGTTCAGGATACCCAACATTCAGAAGGAAGAGACCACAAGGAGGTGCAGTTTGAGCACGTGAGTTCCAATTTTGTGGACTGGGATTGTCAAGCAGGTACCTCACGTCATCCAAGGATATGCGTCCCTGAGCCACTGCCACTAACACAGCAACAGTCCTGCGTACCTGATGTATTATATAACCTCTCGTCAGCAAACTTAATAATATATATGGACATGGTTAAGCTTTGGCTTCCTATGGCATTCATGAAAAACTAATAGAATGCTCTCATTTATTCAAGAGAAAGTGGGGTTTGTCTCTGTAAATACATCATATCACTGTAGTCAGGGTTGGCCTCCTACGTAAGGTACTAACCAATCACTAAGAAGTGCAGAAATGTTTTCACTATACTATACAACAAGCCAATTATTACCCAGGACTGACCTGTTTGTACAAGAAAGACTTGCCCTCAACAATGATGTCCCAGAACTGGAGGTGTGATGCACTTGGGTCAAATTGTGGCTCTAGCAGAGGTCGTCCTGGTGTAAGTGATATCTGAAGTGTGAAAAATACACAGTATACTGTACTGGTGCAGTACTTTAAATAAAAACAAAATAAAGAAATCTCATCTACAATAGCTAATGACAGCTGTGCCTGAAAATGGATAAGGGGGAGGTTATCCACACTGAATGGCATACAGTATCTAAAGACTATAGTACCTTAAATGAAATTCCTTTAACAGGTGTCCAGAAAATTTTGAGAACATACGAAGTTATGTGCAAAGATGAAAATATGAAATGGAACCAAAGTTGCTGTTGTTTTACCTGTATCACCTAATAAGGCATAGATCATGGCAGAAAAGGCATCCATCCTTCAATGCCATTTTCAAAGTAAACAGATGTGTCCTTTCCAGAGATAAGAGACATGTTTTCCTCATATTTATTCTGATGAGCAGATAACAATTAACTACAGTGCTTATCACTCCTTGAATTCTAGACCAATTGTTTATTAAACTTGTCAAGCATTAACCTTGGTCCAATAGTGATAAGTGATTCTTCTACATGTATACAAGGTAGATGATCAATGTACTGTACAGTGAAGTAACACAAACCAACACTGTTCTCAACACATCTTTACCTTGTGAATAATACGTGTTGTTTCCCTTGGTTTGCTGTTCTTAGGAAGAGCAGCCCCAAAGGTGGCAAAGTCATGCACCCCCTCCAGCATACGACAAGCAGACTGTACACGCTCAGTATCAAAGGGAGGCCTGCCAGTAACATGTGAAAATACTGAAATATTAATTACAGGTCTTGGAAATTTTCAATGCATGGCAAAAATAAAAATATTAATTTAGGAAAGAATGAAGTTGTGTGATTTTTTCCATACTGATGAATATAGTTTTCACCAACATTCACCTTATTAAGTAGTTGATTGAATATGAGCCAGACTGCATTAATCAAGTAAAACCAATAGTAAAGAGAGCTCATAAGCAGACCAGATGATGAAGAAAGTCCTGAACCAACAGACACAGACTAATTATTAAACAGTTCCCTGTATCTGTTGTAGAACCATTATAAAGTTTCAAATGAGATGTACTACAGTGTGGCTCACATTCTAGAGGAGACTATTCTACAGCAACAACCGCTCTTCATAAATATGCAAGAAGCTTACCTGATCCTCCAGGAAGACGAAGACAACAAAGTGACTTTTTCTTAAAACACGGTACAAAATAAATGTTCCAATAGAAATGAAAATGGGAAAATGTCATTAAGAAGAGATAACAATGGGAGTAAATAAAACTGGTAGATAAGATAGATAAGGTCAGAGAATATAAAAGTCCATACTATTTCACAACTTCATACCAGGACATTTTTTCTTAACTAATATCTGGGTGACAAGTACCTGTATATTAAACCCTTGACTCACCACCCTTCAAATTTATCTTTAGTCATCCCATTCCCCCACAAATTCTCATGCTCATCTCGTTTATTTGTTTGGTGTTATCTGTACAGCACCTCCAAACATGAAAGTGGGATCCCATAGTCCTCTTGGATCCAAAAGGGACAGTGAGGATACAACACAGTGAATAATAAGCCCCACTGTACTATGAGGCAATGTAGACAATGCAGCACCTAACCACTATCAATTACCCAATCAAAGTTAGACACCCATTCAAGCCGAGTCAACTGAGAATCTCCTGGGCTGAAGACAATAACCCCCATGTAATGTACTCACTCAAACACACACTATCTCCATACACTCAAGACCACTCAATAATACTTCTCTTACTGTGTCAAAAGCTATCTGTCAAAAGGTCCTTTCAGTCAAACAGTACAGTATTGCAGTCTCATTCTTCACTGGACACACCACAGTCATTCACCAGATATTATGGTACTTCTCGACACTGGCCTTATAAGCCCTAACTTAATCTTCAAAAATAGAATAAAGTAAAAGAATACGAAAAACACAAATAATTTGCTGTACTGTATTTGTTAAAGATACTTTTATCCTCTTCACCACTAATTGGGTCGTTAGCCGCTTGGGTGATCAGTTCCGTCTCTGTTATACACTGTTGGCAAGTACTGGGCATGCACTGGCTCCTGAATGTACCTGAACCTGCTTCTGTGTTGGTTAAGTCTGGTCTCGAAAGAGCTCACACTCAGTGCCGTTACAACACTCTCTGGCAGATTGTTCCAAGAGTTCACAACTCTCACTCCGAAAAAGTTACCCCTCACAGTTTTCTGGGCCTGAGGCTTCTTCAACCTTGAGTTGTGACCCCTTGTGGGGCGAGCATCCACCAGCTCCAAGTAAGGACACTCGACTGTGTAGTGCCCCCTGAGATGCTTATACACCTCAATTACGTCACCCCTTGCCCGTCTGTAGTTTAAGCTAGGCAATTTCAAGGGTGCTAATCTCTCAGGGTAGCTAAGGTGCCGTAGTGCAGGCACCAGTCTGGTGGCCCTCCTTTGGACATTTTTAATCAACTGACAGTCCCTAGCATATCTCGGGGACCAGACGGGGTGACAGTACTCCAGATGAGGAAGCACTTCACTCTTAAAGATCGTTATGATGGACGGACTGTCTAGATATCTGAACGACCTTCTTATAAGACCTAATAATTTAGTTGCCTTCTTAACGCAATGGCCTGAGAACGTCAGCTCATTGTCAACATACACACCAAGGTCCTTTACACATTGTCTCAATTAATGCAGTATCTTCCCGTTGGGACGTATGATACGCCTCCTTACCGTTGGTAAGTCCCAGGTACAGCCTCTTACACTTTGTGACATTGAGTCTTTGCAGCCATTTCTTCGACCATTCTTGAAGCTCACGGAGATCCTTCTGCAGCTCTTCACAGACCGCTTTGTTCTTAATTTCCCGAAATAACTTGGCGTCATTCGCAAACATTTATGAAGCAAGCAAACAACAGCGGGCCCACTACACTGCCCTGTGGTACCCTGCTTGTGACGGGAACACATGATGATTTCGTGCCAATAATCACCTGACACTGCTTGCGGTCATGTAGAAAGTCTTCTATCCACGCTAGGACATTTCCCCGAATCCCGTACCCTTCCAGTTTAATTTTCAGCCTTTCATGGGGTACACTGTCGAAAGCCTTGGCAAAATCTAGGTATATATTGTCAATATTACAACCCTGTTCCAGAATTTGGGTTCAAATATCCAGTCCTTGAGTAATTGTGTTAAGCAGGAGCGCCCCTAGCATAAAACTGTGTTGGCAATCCTTTACAAGGTTGTTTCGTAGTAGTTGTTCCATCATGGCATCTCTTATAATGCTCTCAAGTACTTTACATATTATGCTGGTCAGGCTCACCGGTCTATAGTAGTTTGTGGAGTGACAATCGCCCTTCTCAAAGATAGGATTCACATGAGCCATTTTCCAATCACTGGGGACCTTTTGCTCATCCAGGTATTTACAGAACAGGATCTTCAGGGGCTCGGCAAGCTCGTCGCACAACTTCCTTACCACTCTGGGATGCACCATGTCACGGCCGAGACTCTTATGCCAAGATCTTTTAAAAAAAGGTTAAGATGTTCTGTTGTAACATGTGTCCAGATGATGTATTGAGCTCTTATGTGAACAAAAATTTACAGCCCATCTTGCATGAGAGAAAGAAAGGATTAGGGTGTTTTCATTATCAATTTTGGAAAATGTTACATTGTGTGATTATTTTTGGCTGTAAATAAGACATGTTGTCTTGCCCTTTCTCCCGTTACAGTGAAGAAGGTTACAAATAATTTACCTCACTACATAAATGTTGTTAATTTCAGCTGTGGGCAGAAAAGCCTCAACGTCAAACCGGGACTTGGCAGCATCAGTTGGGGCCACACCAAGACGATAAAGATACCTTCGGCCATCAGCATCAAAGCGGGCGTGGAAAGTGGGAGGAACTACAACTGTTTTGTGGACTCTGAAAATAAACATTAAAAGAATTGTAAAGTGGATAAAATATTACCACTAATTTTTAATTATACAACTTGTTAATCATAATCTAAAAAATCGAAAAGCTCACAATAAACAAGTCATACCCAGAGAACAGAGAGACATGGCAAATAACTGTGTTGAGACATACCATGTTTTATTCCATATAAAAAAGCCTGGAAGTTGAAATATCTCAGGTGCCTGGATGACTAATTACTTTCTACAGGTTAGACCTCTGGCTATTTGTCTCTTTAGTACGTGTTAACCCAGAGGAGAGGGTTAAAAGCCCATAACTATTGAGCTACTTCATAGTGTGAGGATGTGGTAGCAGAGGCTACCACAGTTCAGTGCTTGTGCTACATCTACTGGAGGTGACAGAATAAAAAGAATGCCTAAATGTAATATTTACAGTACTTTAAAGATAAAAAAAAATTAACTGTGAACTGAAGACCAAATTCAGAAACAAACAACATATAGTGCATCAATCATACAAGAGAAAAGTGACACCTATGCAGCATTATTTGTGAATAAGATTATGAACCATCCACTAACACTCCTCTTAATGTAACTGCAGGACGATGAGATAAGTTTGTTCAATGATACAACTTCCACAACATGAAATTTGTGTAGAAATCCACCTCCTTTGATCACTGAGCTGCTGCCAAACACAATTATTGCACCATGTAAAGGTTTACAGATCTCAAGAATAACTCATGCGAGAAATAAATCATATTACCCAGTGTCGACTGAGTGTTTATCTTCACATGCCACTAACAAAGGGTAAGACTTACCTAATATCTGTCACAGTCTTTTTGAAGTAGCGATTGAGTTGCTGTGTGATTACATAAGGATCATAAAATGTCCCTTCAGTGCGTCTGGACAAATCTACATGTGCTGTATTACACACTGCATGAACACCTGCAAATAAGTTATCATAAGATACTGGTGAACACAAATAAAATACTATACCGTATTATAAAGTGCCCAGTTTATTAAGCAACACATATAAAAAGATAATGATTTTTTAAATGTATTCTTATACACCATTATAAGACAGAGATGCTTGAGGAACATTTGAACTGTCCTGGCATACTGTACTTCGAGCCACCTCTGCACAGGGGGCACTTTTTGGAAGGCACCCAACACTTTGTTATCATGTACAATTCTAATAATTTTCAGGAAAATGAACAATGTAAAGAAAAGTTTAAGCACAATGGCAGCCATACAAATTAACAGCTGCACTGTAACTAGAAAATACTTGTCAAATATATTCAAAAATGAAATAGCTTGAAATAACAAGTGTTTATACCTTGCATTCTGAAATACCATTAACATGAAACACTGGTCCCTGACTTGAGGGTACAGTAGCTTCAAGAGCCTGTACAAGCCCAATCAGTACAATACATGTACTTACCAAAAGAAAACACCATCTGATCCTCTAGTAAGTCAACAAATGGCAAAGAGTATAATGTGGAGAGAAAGTTACATGTGTTCCTCCCTGGTCTTACCTTTATCAGTACGACTAGAGAAGCAGAGGGCAGGGGTGTTGGCTGGACGGAGGCGATACAACCCCTCCTCCACCAGGCCATGAACACTTTTCAACGACCTCTCTACTTTATCTGCTTGTTTCTGGATACCCCTACAGTGAAACCAGAAATATCAACACAGATTCTATACAAAATATTTTTTAATCATTAATAACATGTATGAAAAAAAAGAGTGATAATACAACTTAACATTATATATATTCAAAGATGGATGTGGAAATTTTTATGTCTATTAAAATAAAAGGTAAGATACAACTGGTAACCTGGACACAAAGTAATGGTGTATGTCTGCCACATGAAATTAGCCTCGCAACAATGACAACACTCTCTTCTTTAGTATACAGTACACTGCTTTGTAAACCTAATACTGTACTGTATATGTATTGTATTATCTACAACTAATAAAACCTTAAACTAAAAATTTTAATTTCCTTTAATAATTTTGTTTTAGTTTCATTTGTGTGTGTCCTATTACCAAATGTTCCACAGAAGACAGATTTAACAAAAACAAGTAATAATACATCTTACACTGTCATTACTTCTTACAGCTCTTCCATTGTACAGTACTATATTGTTGAAGTATTAATGTCTTCTTAATCCTCCAACACACATCCTCCCAGTTTTCCACTTAACATTCCCCCCCCCCCTATTTTATCCACTCTTAGAAGTCAGTTTCCTTTAGTAACAAAGACAGATGCAAAAGCTAGCAGTTAGAGTCTGCCTGTACCATATCTTCATACCAGATTCATGGTGGAGCCTTCTAGTCAACAGGTGTCACATTACCCACCACCACCTCTCTACATGTTTCTTCTTCCCCACAGTTAGTTATATGTAACTTTGTCCAACACCTATCATGGTATATGGTGCGTCTACTATTAAGGCATGGCTTTCTTATTATGATATTATAAAATGATAATCTTTGTCATCAGTAATAACCAATATTTCATTCATTCTTTGAACTTTTATCTCTGACAGCACTGAGTAAACACTAACCCTGACATTAATCCAAAATGCCTTATACAGTAACTGGTAGCCTTTACACTGGGTCCGACTAATTACCCAAATGCACCCAAATGTAGCCGCAATGAACTCAAATAATGGTCCTACATGAATAAATCGGGTTACCAATCACTTCTCGACTAGTATTTGGTGTCACAAAGTAAAAAAAAATTGGAAAACGTAATTTAATTTGAGTTAACAGATCGAGTGCATGTACCGAACCTAACCTAACCTAACCTCGACTAGTATTTGGTGTCACGAAGTCACAAAAAATTGGTAAACTTAATTTAATCTGAGTTAATAGATCAAGTGCATGTACCTAACCTAACCTAACCAAACCAAACCAAACCTAACCTAATCTAATCTAACCTAACCTAACACAACACAACTCAGATTAAATTAAGTTTACCAATTTTTTGTGACTTTATGACACCAAATAATAATCGAGAAGTGATTCACAGCCCGATTTACGCTTGTACGACCATTATTTGACTTCATTGCGGCTACATTTTGCTACATTTGGGTACATTTGGGTAATTAGTCGGACCGTTTACACTTGCTGAGATAAAATGTGGGCAGCAGTTCTGCTGTCATGAAGAGCATAAATTTAAAGAAACGGAGGAAATGTTCACATGAGGTTAGGTGAATACAGAAATGGTGACATGCAATGAAGTCCCAAATTGAGTGCAGTACAGTATCTAGGATCAAATGGGTGTGGATCAAGTGAGTGCAATTCATCAGTACACTCCAGTACTATGGAAGCAAAGGGAGATAAAAGAGAAACAGTGCAGTATACAACACAAGAGAAAGAAAGAAGAGCCCATAACTGTGAGTAGGATTTAAGAGAAATCACCTAAATTTAGGTTTGGTTTAGTTATGATGGGTTACTGAGGGTTGGGATCTCCCAAACTGTAAGAGCAGTATTTCACAGGAAGAGAAACAAGACTTTTGTAAAACATCAACAACTGCAGCAAAAATATGTACTGTATAAACAAGTGTTGCTATGCAGTACTCAAGGTTTACATACAGAATTCTAAATACTGTAATGTCTTTCACGTGTAATTTTTTATATCTTCCTAGACCGGCTTTCCATGCAGGTCAATCCTCTGGGTGTCCAAAATCATGAACTGGAAAAGATCAATGTTTGTCAAACAACTTTAATGGTTTGACAAAGAAAAAATGAAAAAAAAACTGCATACTTCATGTTGATGTCAGAACAATTGAGAATTACAACTTGTAAAGTGGAGAACTATGAAAAATGTCTCTAAACAGTGTTCTAAAATAATACTGTACCATCTAGTAACAATACAGCACAACCTGTCCTGCTCACTACAGTAGTCTCCACAACAATGGGCAAAATAAACTTAATATACTAACCGAAGTCTTGTGCCAGAATATCCAATGTAGAGGAGATACCTCCTCATCTTCTGGTCACCTCGGTGGTTCAAAGCATCACCAGCAAGCCCACACCTTGAACACACTGACCCAAAACGACAAAACAATATGACTGATTGCTTGTTAGTACTCTTAATATGTAAATTAGACTTAGCAACAGAGCTAACACCGATACTTCTGTCACTACACAACAGTATCCAGGTTACACCTTACACTGTACTGTACTGTTCTTAAAAATTAAGTCAACTGATCCTCTGATAAAAGATATTTTATCTGCCAAGTTTTTCTTACAATATAATGTAACACTGTACTGTACTGATATCTGAAAAATTAACACATTAAGTTTAAGTTAACCAATTCATAAATTAAACTTTTGCAACAAAACTTTCCAACAGTCATATTAAAGTTCAAATTAACATTCCTAAAAGGAAGACTGAATCCTCAATAATTCGTACGTGCATATATACTGTGTGTGTGTATGTATATATATATATATATATATATATATATATATATATATATATATATATATATATATATATATAGGGTATTTATATATATTCACTGAGGATAAAACTCTCAAAACAGTTTACTTCCAATGTGTTAACAGTACTGTAGTGTTTAGTGTATGTCACTATTACATGTGGTGAGCTGTGTTACTCATCACAGTTGGACCTGCTGATGCTCTAAAACAGTTGGACCTGCTGATGCTCTAAAACAGTTGGACCTGCTGATGCTCTAAAACAGTTGGACCTGCTGATGCTCTAAAACAGTTGGACCTGCTGATGCTCTAAAACAGTTGGACCTGCTGATGCTCTAAAACAGTTGGACCTGCTGATGCTCTAAAACAGTTGGACCTGCTGATGCTCTAAAACAGTTGGACCTGCTGATGCTCTAAAACAGTTGGACCTGCTGATGCTCTAAAACAGTTGGACCTGCTGATGCTCTAAAACAGTTGGACCTGCTGATGCTCTAAAACAGTTGGACCTGCTGATGCTCTAAAACAGTTGGACCTGCTGATGCTCTAAAACAGTTGGACCTGATGATGCTCTAAAACAGTTGGACCTGATGATGCTCTAAAACAGTTGGACCTGCTGATGCTCTAAAACAGTTGGACCTGCTGATGTCTAAAACAGTTGGACCTGCTGATGCTCTAAAACAGTTGGACCTGCTGATGCTCTAAAACAGTTGGACCTGCTGATGCTCTAAAACAGTTGGACCTGCTGATGCTCTAAAACAGTTGGACCTGATGATGCTCTAAAACAGTTGGACCTGATGATGCTCTAAAACAGTTGGACCTGCTGATGCTCTAAAACAGTTGGACCTGCTGATGCTCTAAAACAGTTGGACCTGCTGATGCTCTAAAACAGTTGGACCTGCTGATGCTCTAAAACAGTTGTGTGAAGCCTCCATACTCGTCTTGACACTACAGCACCAGGACATGCTCAGCCACAACATTGTCCTGGTGTCACGTGTCCCGGGATAAATTGTCTGTACCATTGACTATTTAAGTTGACCAGGTCGTGAGCTAGGCGTGGGTCAGGTGTGGTGAGCGTGGGTCAGGTGTGGTCAGCGTGGGTCTCATGTGGGCACAGCAGACGACGCGCTCAGCTGATCCCGCCATGACACACGGATATGACGTCATACACAAGTGCCAAGTCTACATTTATCTTGATCTATTTATTTTACCTCAGATATAAGTAATAACCAACAACATTTACAAAAATTAAATATCCTTTAAATAAAATATGTTCTAATACCTACATGAATAAGGTGATATAAAGGAATGAAGTGATTAATATTGTTTGTGTTTGTGAGACATATGGCATTTAGTAACATTAGAGACACGTATTTTCCGGTGTGCTTCGACGACCAGGGACAAAAATTTTATACTTTACTGACGTTTAATATAGCAGAGGCAAGGTGAGCAATATGGCCACTGTATTACTGAGATGATCATTGAGTAGAGTGTAGTATGTGAGGTAGAGGAGGAGAGGCTGGGGTGAGGGAGCTGAATGACACACTGAACCTGTCAAGTTGATGCCTGACATAACTCATATTTCTATTACCAGTGAAGAAGTTTATTGTAAGGACCATTGATCTATATTGTTACCGTCTTGTAAAATCTGGGACTTTTTATCCAGAAATATTCACATCTTATTAATATGTTGAAGTTGACATCATCTCGAGCAATATTTCGTCATCTCTCAGTTACACAAGTCACCATTATTACAACAGTTGGTCTTTATCACACACCCTCTTGGTTTATTAAGGTTCACTCTAAGTAAGTAAATCAGTAAGTAAAACTAGCATAAACTGGCAGGTGTATCCACTGTAAGGTGTTGGCCAGTGACACACCCTACATATTAGGCTTTGTTCTGCTTATTTTAGGAATATTTCAGATATAATTAAAAGAATATGTATAGTTATAACAGAATTGAGTGGTTTAGTTTGGATTGTTAAAATGTTTTGGAAAAAATTGTGTAAATATGTTTATTTTGAGATCTCATTATGCATTATGATGTTAACAGGAACAAATCATAGTGTTTCATCATACTTAAGTTTATGTCACAGTGATTTATTCATGCTAAAAATAATTCATAGTTTAGTGATGTTATTACTATTAATGGTAAAGATTCCTTAGTAACCAAATACAGTGATAATTTAATAACCAAAATACGTACTGTACATTTTCTTATGTTTTCATGGTGATTTGAAAGAATATTCAGCGCTACTATAGCGTACGGTCTACAAAGATATCTTTAGCTTAACCTAACCTGACTTAATCTAACCTAACCTAACTTAACCTAAATATCTTGTAGACCGCACGCTATAGTAGCACCGAATGTGACCTTTATTTTGAGTTTAATAAGTTGAGCTCTTTTTGTATTAGGGTAGGAATTTTTTAAGGAAAAGTTAGATCAGTTTTCAAAGGTATGATTGGTGTTTCATTTAGTGTTTTATTAACATATTTACCCTCATCTTCAAAACCCTGTCCACTTTCTGCAAATAATTGTCGTATCTCCATAAATATACATCAGCGATAAAAATAAAGGTTCTCTTCTTTCAAATCACCATAAAAACATAAGAATAACTTATTTTGGTTATTAAGCTCATTATGGCCACTAACAAATCTTTGATCCAAAGCACCAAGGCTACAGCTTATGTGTCATTACCTAAATACTATTAATGTACTTCCTGCTCCACCCCTGGGTATAGATTCTCTGCATTAAATCAAATGTTTGAAATAAAATTCCCTAGAAACCAAACACTTATTTATTATGTAGAGTTATGTCATATATACAAGTGTAGTGTTTTTACTGCTAAGTGTTGAGAAGCCAGAAACATTGGTTCAAGTTTCTAAAATAAAGTAAAAAGTTACATGTGGTAATACTCTAAAACACTGTCCTCCAATAACCAGCAACTTTTTCACAAATTTCTAAAGAAGAAAACTTGTTTCTTACCTCAAAAATATCCAAAGCCAGTTTGAGGAATTGCTCTTTTCTGAATATTGTTTTGGCAATTTTTTTCTTTTCCTAAACATGAATCCTTCTCAATGCGCTAGCTCCCAGCAGTGCCATAATATATATGTCGTAGAAAATATGAACCAACAAAACCTATCCTAGGATGAAATAATATTTTAGGTTAGGTTTGGTAGGTTTGGTTAGGTAAGGTAAGGTACAGAAAAGTTACTGGGAAACATATACAGGTGCTCCTCTACTTAAGAACGTTCAACTTAAAAAACTTTCAGAGATACAAACATCATCACTGATGGGTTACCTGCCAGAACAGGTGTTTAATGTAGATGAGACTGGATTATTTTGAAGAAAATTCCAGATAGAACAAACATTACCTAAGAGGAGAAGAGTGAGCCAGGTCTTATGGCTGTATTAAAGGGTATAGCTGTACTAAATATCTATAATCTTTTCATTTTTTTCAATATGTTTGGTATCTACAAGAGTAAAGTTGGACTTACAAACAAGCCTCAGGAACGTACCTCGTTCGTAAGAAGAGGAGCACCTGTAGTAAGTCACTGAGAAACGTTTGTTAAGAGATGAAATGCAGACATGGCATCCTTGGGTGACAATGTATTTCCTTGTAACAAAAAAATATATAAATACAGTATAAATGTTTTTTTATATTAGTTGGAATTGCTCCACCCAGTTTTTATTTTGAGGCAAGACAAGTTTACTTCTATAGGAAATTTTCTGTAAGTTTCTGATTCTAAATAGACAGTGTCGTTGGGTGCAAAAAGTCAAAGTTGGTTTTGATCCTGAACCAACAACTGTTTAACACTCGCATAATAACCGCTGTACAGTTCTGTATATACACAAACAGTATATTTCAATCAATTTACTCAGCTGTTCTGTTAATTTGCGACTGGTAATTAATTTATGATACCCTGTAATTGTTTTTCTTCAATATAATTGTCTTCCTGTCATGTATAATAGAGTTTTCTTGAAGTTATATATAGGAAACACTACAATTAACTTTCCTCATAAAACTGTTTCTCTCTAAGAAATTGTATAGAAGAAAAGTTGGGTGAATGTGAAACTAGAGAGACAACCTTATAAACAGTATTCAGCTTGAGTTGTGGTGCGAACCTTTCCGAGATTAATGATTTTAGTGTTTTTATTCATAATCAGGTGGTTGGTTGATGATGCAGGTATTTGAATTTACACACTTAGTCATGTTAATTATGTACAGTACAGTATAAAAATATAAATGTATGGTTATTGCTTATAATTGCTGATATATTTGAGTGTAACTTTGAATTACTGTAACACTTAAAACAAATAGCTTGAAATCATTAAGTTACATTCAGTGAGGTTCATATCATCTTTCATAAATGATTGAAGTCTGTTGTCTCACACATCAGTGATTGTTATTCACAGTTGCCTGGCTCTCTGTTCAGTCATATTCAGTATAGACATGTAATAGGAATCCAGGGTAAGTCCTTCAGTTATGCAGTGCCAATAATAATTTGAAGAAAGAGTTATATAATTTATCATATAGATTTAATATTACTGAATTTCAAATTTTGGTCATCTGGACAGTTTTGAATTGTGAAATTATTTGCTGTAATCTTACAAAAGGTTTGATTACTGTATCTTAATGATAAAATCTCAGATACATCATTATTTTAATGTTGTGTACAATGAAAGACAAAAGTCGTGTCGTGGAATTTGGTGATAACATATGCCTCAGGGCTAAACTTTTGGTGCCTTGTGGTGGGGCTCTCATAATGTTTCACCAGTTATATTTAATCTAAGGGCAAAACCGCGACACGACTTTTGTCTTTGATTGTACATTCTTTCCTTTGTGTGAAACTAACCTTACAATATATTGAATGTCATCGGTATAAGCCAAAGACCATTGCAGGTCAAATTGTGTAATAGATAAACTTTATATTATAGCTATAGCAAAGGACTAAATAAGGGATTTTGAATATAAGTTAATACTGTATTAAGTTTACCCCAAATTTATCAACTTGGAGGGTTTGTAATTATTTGTTTTGAAATACAGTATAACACAACCCCAGTTAAGAACAGAGAGTATGAGATGTCCTCTACAGTACATGTCAGGGAGTTTTTATTTTTTTATTTATTTTTATCCCACTTATAAGATCTTCGTGGCTTTCAAAATGATTGAGCAGATTCTTTATTTTATTTATTTATTTATTTATATTTTTTCTTCACGGGGGTCCTGGTAGTGATTGTGAGGTACAGATACAATACAGTAAATAAAATAGTGTACAGTACAGTGGTTCTCAAGAATGGTTAGGGGTCTGATACCAGTGACAAGTATTGATGAAGGAAAATTGTCAGTTGATTTTCAGAGTTTTATGCTAAGATGCAGTTAAATTCACATAATCTGCCACCCAGTTACTGAGAGGGTAGAGGAACTGTTACTCTTCAGTAATTTTTCTATCTTGTGATTTTTTCAGGATGATGCAAGACGTATTAGAAGCAAATGATTCACTCTCACAGCCGGGTCTCATCCAGAGGTTTAGCACCAGTATTTGCAGGGTTTGTATTTCTCCCATTTTTTACTTGAATGGAAGTCAGTTGTTATGTTTCCTTTACAAAAAATTCTTTAAAAATTGCAGTCAGGGGTCCAAGGAGATGTTTATAATATAATGTTTACAGGATACTGACCTTTATTTCATATCTTGACCTGTGATCTGATAAGTCCTCTTGTTTAAATCTTATCACTGGTGTAGAGTCCATATTAGTGATTGTAGGAGTGGACTTTTAAGTAGTGTATGAAGGAGCAGTTTGGTGTATGTCTAAAGCAACATAAGCTTTACAAGTCCCGGTAGCTACACCAGTTGTGCCTTAAGTATAGTTGGTCGGCGTTAGTAAGATTAGGACCATCTTGTTATCTCTGCTACAGATAGCTTGAAAGTTTTTTAATTTTTATTTATTTTATTTTTATTTGTTTTATTTATTTATTTATTTATTTTATTTTTTGGGACAGAAGCCATAATTGCCCTCCCCCTCCCATTAGCCAGAGCCACGGCCAGTGAAGGCCGAGAAGGATTTGTCTGGTCGCCAGGCCTTCACTTGTTGTGGCCCTGGCTGGCGGGGGGGGGCAATTACTGCTTCTGACTGTACCTTCATCATCATCAATATTTTATGACCAGTTACCACACTTGCGTGGGTTAGCAGCAATTACGGTACCTTACAGCTGCTGTCCATGCAGTCTCGCACATCAGGTTCTTAACTCTGATGTCATTCTTAACTCTGATGTCATATTTTTCTTTATAACATTTAACATTTTCTTAATGCCTTAGTAGATATTTGTGAATGACATATACACTATGTACTGTATCTATAATGAATGTGCGCTTGTGTATTTCCTGACTTGTAATACTCTTACAATATATATTCACTGTATTAATTATATTGTACTGTATACATATCCATCTGTGCAACTTGGTTTCCATGAGGGTCATCATGTTCAGTTAAGTTGATAGATTACGAATCTTCCACTCCAGCAGGAATTATCTGGTCCTGAGGTATTTTCAGTTCGAGGGATTTCCCTGTAGGTTCTACATTAAAGTCTTAACAACATGTTTCCTAATAGTTTGATGCAGTAGAGACTTGCCCTCTCAGAAGATGATGTAGAAGGTTTAGCAAGATAGGGAATATATTTGTCTTGTTCTTCATGCTTTGTGTAAATATATACATGATTCTTGACACTATATTTATCTGTTGAAGGTAAATATTACATAAGGCAATTAGTTGACCCACTGTGGCTCTAATCTGAGTTGTTATGTACAGTATATACATTATCATATCAAGGGGCCTGAGACGACTGAAGCCTCGGAACCATTATCTTCAGGTTTTGATAATCCCAATAACAAGGTCTTTGCTTGGGTGCACTGGTAGTTGTTACAGTACTTGTGTGGGGTACTGACTGAACTCCAGTATTGGCAACAATTGCAGTCATTTGCTTTCCCAATTTGTAAACAGTGTTATCATAATGCACGTATACTATTAACCTACAGTGTTATGTAATATTTCACGGTGCTTATGTTGACTAAAGTTGTGTTTCTTTATAACAAATGACGTTGAACAAGAATTGCATTGCTTTACGACTAAGAATAATTGCGTTTTTCAAACCGAGGGTTCCTTATTTATTGTTTAATTTTTGTTAATCTGTTGCTTACACATGTGACTTCTGGCTCACAAAAACATTGTTAAAGTTGTGTATTTATCTTAATGAAACACATCCTTAAGATCGAGACTGTAATCATGCGTAAGAACTTCTACTCAAGTCAATATGAGAAACCAGAAAAAAAGGTTCCTTTCACTCCCCGCCATATTTACGTTGTAAGTACAGTACTGTATACTCTGGTGGACTGGAAGACACACATTACAGCATGACCTCTGAAGGGCAACATAACTAAGTGACTTTCATGGGGCTCAGCTGGTACCATACACCATGGATACAAAAGATGAAAGTATGTTAATTAGTTTTGTGATGAGAGTGAGGTGAATGCCCTGTCTATAAAGAAGTTGTAGGTGGGTGGTGAGACAGGAGTGAGTGGGTGCATTTCAAGGAGGAAGCAATTCCTTATACAAGCTAGAAAAAAAAATATTTTAGTGGTATTAGTTCTTTTGTCTTGACTAACTGTGCTGTTCTTACTTAAGGCTTGCTAAATATACTGCTAGAAGCTTATAACCATAATTATAACTACCAGTAGCTATACAGAGCCTCAGTCTTAGATGGTACAGGCCAGGATATCAGCAACAACCATTTATGAAGAGTTACCCTGACTGTAGGATACCTTCCTGCAGGTGCCAGGCTCTCTCCTTGTGTGAATAGATTTATGCTTTACAGTAGAACATAATGTTTGATGACTCAGTTTTGTGGAAAATTGTGAAAGCCATAAACCAAGACGACAGGATGACATAGACGAGGTAGAAGAGATGTGTAATAAATATTGAATAAAATCATCATTTAAGTTTACACTGATGTACTGTATAATACACAGTGTAGGTATACAAACAGTTGAATCAGTGAAAGATAGTCCAAGAAAGCCTTTAGATACTTACTTTCATCAGGGTCCTGTTGGGTATGGAGTCTTCACATAAAGGTCCTTGATCCACATATTTAATAGAGATGAAGTAACATTACAGTATTGTAATTATATAAATACCTAACCAAAATAAGGACCAGAACAATGTTACATGGATAAATATTTTTATTAACGTCAATAGAGGAAGTTGAAACTACTGTATGGTACTGGCAAAATTTGATAAAGATGCTATTATACAAAAAATTTAGAATAGGATGCACAGGTTCAAACATCACGAGGGTTGTATCATATTAATACCCAATCATCCCAAGGCAGCACTTTAGGTCCTTTATCCAGGTTACTTCAGAAGTAATGTCCAGGAAGATGTCACCAGCCACCCAGGCATGTCACTTTCTTTCTGGAGAATCTACTGATATGTAAAAAGTGGTCTGGAGTTCTTCTTTAGTAACTTATCTTTTCAACAAGTTTTATTCATATATCAGATAAATATATAAATTTATCAAGAAGGATTATTTAATGAGCAGATGGATGTTTAAATGTATCCAAAATGTTTATATAATATATGAATTGAAGTGGCTATTTTGTCTTTCAGTTATACCAACATTACCTAGACAAATGGACCCCACACACGGCTTCACGGTGGGTGTTTACACTTGTGATGATCGTCGGCTTCATGCTCCGTATCATGTTGAGGCAAGGCTGGTACATCGTCTGCTATGCTCTCGGCATCTATCATCTCAATCTCTTTTTAGCTTTCCTCACTCCAAAAATTGACCCAGCATTTTCACAAGACGATGGTAAGCTTTAGTTGATGCATTCTGCATAATTCTGTAATTACATGATATATATTACACCACTAAGAATGAAAGAAGGAAAATGTGTGTATGAGTGTGTGTGTGCATGCATCTGCCTTCCTGACCTGCTTTACTGCATCATAGCAGGAAAAGGATTTATAAGAATGAAACTAATTATTTATATATATATATATATATATATATATATATATATATATATATATATATATATATATATATATATATATATATATATATATATATATATATATATATATATATATATATATATATATATATATATATATATATATATATATATATATATATATATATATATATATATATATATATATACAGCTGTACAGTATATAATACTTTTTGTTATCAATTATTTTAATAATTTCATTGTCATTCTCATGAATGCTGCAGCTGAAAGGTAGCATGTTGCAGAGCTAAATTAAGTCTTGGTATATTTTACCATGTACAGTATTCTTAGTTACCCCGCACATAATTTTTGTCAACAATAGATTGAACTGCCATTATTATAATTATCTTTATCAGATGATGGACCGAGTCTACCCACGAAAGTCAATGAAGAGTTCCGTCCCTTCATGCGACGACTACCAGAGTTCAAATTTTGGTACAGTGTAACAAAGTCTACACTAGTTGCTTTCTTCTGCACTTTCTTTCAGGTAGAAGTTCATCACATGTTGTTTTTTTAACTTGAAATATTACTCTCTCTAATTTATATCCAGTTCAGCCCATCCCAAAGAAGAGTGACCATTCTAATCCCTCTAACTATCGCCCCATTGCCCTAACTTCATCCCTCTCTAAGATTTTCGAAACTACCTTGAACTCCCATTTTCTCCGTCACCTTGAACGCCTTTCTCTTTTATCGGATCACCAGTATGGCTTTCGCCAGGCAAGATCTACTGGTGATCTGCTCTCCTATTGCACCCATCTTTGGTCATCCTCTCTTAGGGATTATGGGGAAACTTTTGTCGTGGCCCTCGACATCTCCAAAGCATTTGACAGGGTATGGCACAAGTCTTTGCTATCTAAACTTCCCTCTTTTGGTTTCTCTCCCCCACTTTGTTCTCTCATCTCTAGCTTCCTTGAGAATCGATCCATGGCAGTTGTTGTCGAGGGATCGATTTCTCGCTCTTTCTCTACCAATAGTGGCGTCCCACAGGGTTCTGTTCTTTCACCAACTCTCTTCTTTTTATCAATGATTTACTTCACACTACAACTAATTCTATCCATTCTTACGCCGATGATTCTACTCTTCACTCTTCCTCACATTTTCCCCTTCCTCCTAACTCTCAAACTAGATCTGTTTCTAGAACTGATATCATTACTTCTATCAACGCGGATCTGTGCAGCATCTCTGAATGGGGAGATACAAACTTGGTTAAGTTCAATAGTAACAAAACTCAATATTTACCAATTACACTTTGTAAAGTAGACGATCTCCCACCAATTACATTTCAGGACGCTATCATCCCCCCAAATTCTGAAATAAATATGTTAGGCCTCACCATTTCCTCCAATATGTCCTGGAAATCACACATCCTTAGTATAACTAAAGCTGCCTCCCGAAAGTTGGGAATGCTGTACAGATGCCGCAGCTACTTCACTCCTGAGCAGTTGCTCCAAGTATATAAGGGATTCATTCGTCCTAACTTGGAGTACTGCTCTCATATCTGGGGTGGCTCTTCTTCTGTCTAACTATTAGATAGGGTGGAATCAAAGGCATTTCGTCTTATTAACTCTCCTCCTTTAGTCGACAATCTCTCTCCCCTTTCTCTTCGCCGCAATGTTGCTTCACTCTCTCTCTTTTACAGGTACTTTAACGGGCAATGTTCAGGGGATTTGGCATCCTGTGTACCGCCGGTAAGGCCGTGGGTTCGTAACACACGTCTTGCCCGCGGTGCCCACCATTTCTCTGTGGATATCGGTCACACGAGAATAACCCGTTATAGTACCTCCTTCTTTCCTCACACAGCCAAACTGTGGAATGCTTTGCCTTCTTCTGTGTTTCCATGCTCTTACAATCTGTCTCACTTTAAAAAGCTGGTTTTCCGGCATCTTCGTGGTGTAGATTAATACAGTATAACCTTTTTTTCTATATTTTCAATTTCTTTCCGTTCTTTTTTTTCGCCCCCCAGGCTCCGTTGTGGGTCGTTTGACCTGTGCCCGAGTTGGCTAATTCCCTTAAAAAAAAAAAAAAGTTATGTAAGATGGTACCAAATTACAATTGTCTTTCTCTAAGCTCACGTTTGATCTCTCCACAGCTGTTCAACGTCCCAGTATTTTGGCCAATTCTCGTCATGTACTTCATCACCTTATTCTGCATCACCATGAAGAGACAGATAAGGGTAAATACTGACTTCTTTTTATTTATAAACTGTGAATGACATGTTTGGATGAGAGAAAGAGAGAGTGTGTGTGTTGCTTGTGAATGTATATGTGTGTGTCTGTGTGTGTGTGTGACATCTTATTATGTAGTCCAGATAGACTTTTGAAATATTACCGAGTCTTTTTCCTTCTGTTGACCAAAAAGTGTCATTTATGCGAACGTTGCTGTGTGTTTAGTTTACTTGTGAACTTTTTTTGCTTTGAGAATGTTTGTGTGGTTGGTGCAAGCTGTGTGGGCCCAGTGTGGTGTGGTTACCTGTACAGTACTGTGTTGTATGTGGCATATATGGCAGTGATGTGGGTCTGTGTGGGAGGATGGATTCTCCTCCTCCTCCTTCTTTACTTCTTCCGTTTTTATTATTTTTATTTTTATTATTTTTTTATTGGGATTTTAATTGCTTTTACCACATGGAGGTTATAGGTACAGTACAATATTTGGGACATTTTGGGAAGTTCTGGTGAAGGTGTTTATAGCTGTTGGACTCGAGTGATTTAGACAATTGTTAGAGATACGTATTGTTTTTTGAGCGTCTTGAGCCTCTAGAGTTGTTGTTTTTCGTTTTTTTCTTTCGTTTTTCTTTTTTTACGGGGAATAGCCCACCCTGTCACAGGTCAACAACCCACATCGGGGCCTGGGAGGCGAAAAAATAAGAATAAAAATAAATTAAAAATAGAAAAGAAAAAGCTTATATTAATCTACATCACGAAGATGCAGGAAAAACCATTTTTTTTAAAGTGAGACAGATTGTATGAGTATGAAAATACAGAAGGAGGCAGAGCATTCCACAGTTTGACTATGTGAGCTTGAGATGGCTGTTTTAACTGACTGTGAGGTGAACATGTATTACTCCATTTTGTAATTTTTCTTGTTTCATCGTCGATTCTCTGATAGTCACTTCTGTCTCTCTCATTCAATTTTTATCAGCCCCGAAAAAATCGGTTTCTCATCAATTTTATTGCCCCCCAAAATTGACTTTCTAAGCACTTTTATCACTAAAAAAGTTTCCAGTTTCTTTCTTTTTAGTTACTTCATGTAATACCGTTATATTATCTTTTTCCTTCCAGCACATGATCAAGTATAAGTATTTACCATTCTCCCTGGGCAAGCCACGTTATCAGGCTCATCAAGAAAACGTCAAACCAGCTGCCCACTGACCCAGCAGCTCCACTACCATCCCCAAATAGAGTTACTACTTAACCATTTTCCACTGGTGAACTACTGAACAAGACAAAGACAAGTGGAGTGTTTCTTGGTAAAAAAAAAATTAATAAAAAATCTTGCTCAGTGAAGCTGGGAGTCCTTGTGATGTGTTATTTACATCAGACATATTGCCACTGTAATTGACAGAAGGAGCTGCCACCAAAGATACCTGCTGATTCTTAGGAAGGAACTAATTCTACGTTACCCAGGGAGAAGGACAAGATAGCTGCTTGCTGATAAAACCCCTTCTGAACACCACCTCTACAGTACTTCCAGTTGTCTCCCATATTGATTTTGTTTCTGTAATCTTGAGTATTACATTGATACTTGTACATACATGCATACATACACTAATATACTGTAATCTTCCCTCTGTATCTGGCAAGTCAATGAGAAATTCTTTAGTCCAGTATTGTCTATGGTAACTATTCACACGTTCAGTGTTAAGAAGCCGGATAAATTTGTAGCTACGGTGGTCAGCTTGTGAGGAGTAGACGGTAATGATTTATGAAACCACATTTATTAACTGAGAAGGAAATATATGAAAACTATGCTTTGTACCTAGTAAGTGTTCATCATCAGGAAGTATTTGTAACCTGAAAGAAAAACTGCATGTGAAATATAATAAGGTTGTTACAAATAGTACAGAACTCTTAACACAGTACCCAGACTGTGGATAAGAAAGGTCAACTGGAGTAATATTCAGGATGTTTGGTTCATTTCAGCTTTATTTTTTGAATGATTAACAGTCCTAACTTGATGTGACTGACACAATACTATCGCAGTGGACATAATACAGTAGACCTTTGTATCCAAACTGTTCATATCCCTCCACTTGAGCTTCATTCCCAAGCTCATGTAACTTGAATAAAGTCAAAGGAGTCATAAGTGAAGAAATAAAGAGACCTGTGTTAGATTGGAAGGAGTTAGCCACCCATCACTTCACGGTGGTACTCTGCCTGAACCACCATCCTCTGCAGCTGAAATGTTCCTCATGTGGTTGATATTACAGTAAATAATACCTAGCATTTCACATGTGGTTATTTGTATTTTATTAAAGATTGTTAACTTGGGGATGGAATACCTTGGATATATATTGTTCTATTATTTATATATTGTACATAATGAACCTCTCTGTGTCTTGTCAGCAAAGGTCGACAAGTTTATCCTTGCATTATATTTTTTTATGATTAGTCAAGTTCCTGCAGATAATTAACATGCTAAAAATTATATTAGGTTATGTGAACGATTTATTTCCATTGTCATACTTTTTTTTGTCTAGTGATATTTTAAGTTTGAGAGTGCTGAAAATACATTGAGGAGATCTGATCATATTGCTACAGGTCTCTGAGGAAACTGTCAGATGATCACATAGGGAGGAATTGATCACTGTGTTCACTGGTGTTGGAATACTGTGGTTGACTTCATTTATGGCCATTTGATTCATCTCTTTCTTTTCTTCTTAAGGTGCACTATTTTTATTATTATTTTGGTCAGTACAAGTAGTATAGATGATTATAATGGCCCATGTGCTAATAATAAAAAAATCCAGAATATTCAAAATTCAAAGTTAAAGGAAATCTATATAACCGATTGTTCAATAGAGGACAAGAAACGTGTAGAGAATTACTTAGCTTGACACCCGATTGACTGGAGAGTATCAGTGTGAACTCTCATGTTTGGATGTACAGTAGTGCCAACAGAATAGTAACTTAATTTGTATCCAACTGTCCAATCTTTTTTTTTAGTACAGCATCGGGTGCAATCTTTATTATTATTATTGTATACAGTAATTTATCACAGTCCTTGGCAGTAAATTAATCAAACATTGTTGTGCAATACATCTCTCATTCAAACCTGGATGATGCCTGTCATTCTTTTATCTTGTGACACAGAAATCAATAGTTGTACTGTAATTATTTTGTGTTACAGCGAGAAAACACGAAGATCTTCAACACCAACTTAGCGTATAATGACTTGGGTTATTATCTTGATTAAGTGCATGCATGTTTTCAAATAAGTTAACTTTTTTCTTTTCTTTTTTTTTCCTAGTTGTATATTATATATTAGTGCTGTACAATACTTTTATTTGTTGTTGGAAAACTTAAATGACATTTTTATTTTTTTTATGTTTTTTATATTTGATGGAAGAACTTTTTCAACAAAATATTGTAGGCTTAAGAGATTCTTCTGGGTGTACTGACAATACTTAGTCCTTTGAACAGCAGGTGTACAGTAAGGGAACTCCAAACTGGTATCAGTGTACGGGCAATGCGACACTTGATTAGAAATATTGAATCATGTTAAAAATATTATGTAATTAATATTTTTACAGCTGCTATGTTTTTTTTTTTTTTGTTTTTTATCAGTAATGTTGGGGAACATTTCTTATTTGTGAAGAAACTGTCTTTGCTATGTGGTTTTCTTTTAGCTCTTTTTAGAACTAAAAAAAATGTACTTTGTAGGTGGCAGTTGGCCTTGGGAGCAATAGTTGTGAGTGCAGACAACTTACTAATTAAAGGTCATTATATTTGTAAACAAGCAGATGGTGATTTTCTTCTCAACATTAATGATGATTATAAGTAGATATGAATATTTTTGTTTTCTCTAAATTCAGGCAACTCTCATACAGTACTGATATTTTCATCATTATCCAAAGATTTCTCTGTCAAATTATTTGATGTATGAACTATATACTGTACTGTTATTATTTTGTTGTCAGAATGATGATGTGCAGTGCAGTGGTTTCTGTATATAAGTTATTGGGTGAATGAGTCATTCCAGATTATAGGTGTGTAATGAATGTGACTAGACCTTTTTACTTGGATCATGTCTTTGTACAGTCTTGTCATGAAATAGATTAAATAATATTTTGATTGGGTTTTTCTCTCAAAAATCCATTGATATATCATTAGATTACCAAGCTTCGGGTTATTATAAGTGTTTACAGTGCTGTACGTACAATCACTTTGTGTACTCAGTCGGGGTCAACATCTCATTTCAGTCATCCACAAGATTAAGAAAACGGTATTACAAATGACTTGCATGTCTTTGAGGGTCATGTAACGTGGTATGGTAAGATTGATTTTTTTTTTATTCATTTCACAAATGCTAAAGTTAAAGTGACAAAACACCTACTGTGCTGCAGCTTCTTAGCCTACCACATCAACAGCAACGGTAAACAATTTATGGTTATTTTTATGTATAGTTTACACCCCAAAATAAGGTGAATTTCCCTGATTATCATCAGAATTACTTTAATCATTCATTTACAACATTTACCGGTACATAAACATAAGAACTTAAACAGAAATCATATACGAATGGTCTCACAGAACTAATGTCATCAGACCTTTTCACCTTTGGTATAGTGTATCACTCAATGATGGTTTAACTCACTTCCAGTGGTCATATGTCAGATCATTGTAATCAACTTCATGATTCTCAAGCAACATCAATTGACTTCTGCACACCAGTGAGCTATGACTAATTGACTGAAAGAATGACTAATCAACCATCCAAATTGATGCAACTTGTGATGAGTTCTTGGATATACTTAACTGAGGTACTAAGGTCAATGGGCTGAAAAATCATAAATGTTACTATGATTGTACAGTACAGTATGTGAGTAGCCAGAGTGAGAAGAAATACGTGGACTTTTTTTAAACCTTCTAAATATGGGAGAGAAATTAAGATGTTTCTCAATAATCACAGAAGGATCTTGTTTAATAAATGTCTTTCCTGGGTGAGTCGTTGTGTGCTGATGGTAGTGAAGTGACTGATAACAGTGGTAGTGAGGTGATGGTGGTAGTTAAGTGGTAGTGAGGTGATGGTGGTAGTTAAGTGGTAGTGAGGTGATGGTGGTAGTTAAGTGGTAGTGAGGTGATGGTGGTAGTTAAGTGGTAGTGAGGTGATGGTGGTAGTTAAGTGGTAGTGAGGTGATGGTGGTAGTTAAGTGGTAGTGAGGTGATGGTGGTAGTTAAGTGGTAGTGAGGTGAGTGAGTAGTGATGGTGGTAGTTGGTGGTAGTTAAGTGGTAGTGAGGTGATGGTGGTAGTTAAGTGGTAGTGAGGTGATGGTGGTAGTGAGGCGATGGTGGTAGTTAAGTGGTAGTGAGGCGATGGTGGTAGTTAAGTGGTAGTGAGGTGATGGTGGTAGTTAAGTGGTAGTGAGGTGAGGTGAACACTTGCATGCCCAGTACTTGCCAACAGTAAGCAAGAGAAAACTGATCGACTGGAGACTGAGCAAACAAGTGGCTTAGAATATAAAATTAGAGAAGAGGAAGTGGCAAGATAAACGTGAGGGGCGAGGCACATCAAGAGGTTCCTGCCCCGGAGAGACGCTAACGGAGGCGGCGGAGGTATGTCGGTGTTTACACCTACACGGACGAGCGTCGGGATCACCGGGTTAGGAGATGCCGCTTAACCACTGACTGGCCTCTGGTAGATAGATAGATAGCGATTCAGTAAAAATATCATACAAGTTGATATGGATTCAATTTGCACTGTACATTATCACAAACAGTTCAGTGTTGTATATGAATGGTAAGATCCCCTAACATAGAGTCTGGCAATACTCATTAAATATAGAAAAATTAAAAGGTAATAATTTTCAATGTCCTTGATGAAAATTCACAGAAAATACAGGACAAAATACAGTTGAGAAATTTTACTGGTTACGTAACATCCAAGCTATTGACGCTGGGTCACTTGACAGGTGTGTGTGTGGTCATGAAACAAATGCGATGTTAACATATTGGATCAGCATATAAGGTAAGTCGTGTGAGGTCAACACATATTGATTAAAGACAAGATGGATATTTTACTCGGTGAAGTCATCTTACAAGATCACATGGGTTCAGCATGCATACTGTAATATATAGATGATTCAGTCGAAAATAGCACAAGATAGACTTTAAAAACTTAATTTTATAGAAGCTCTTCTCCGATAAGAGTTCAAGAGGAGGTCAGTGACTGCGGCCGAGGTCAACGTGGAACACCGAATCAATTGGCCGAGTATCTCCACCCCCCAGTCCTCCCTCCTCCCACCGCTGCATCATCTCGGTGCGAGAAGCTGCCAATCATTTATTTGTTGAGAATATTGCTTCTGAATGGTTTTACACAGAAGCAGAGGACTCAACTCTCGCTGTAGCTCGTAGATGTTATATGTTGTTTTGACTCTTTATGCCTCATTAAATCCTATAACTGAAAAGTTGGGCTGATACTTGTAGCCTATACCAGAACAGTTTACCTTCAGAGAGAAATTAAACTATTATTCTGAAACTTTTGTATCGGGGCTCAATACGTCTCAGGAATTATATATATTTTTTTCAAACTCGAAAAACTAAAAAAGACGAATAATGAAATACACGTTACAAAATGTCCCTTTTTATCAGTATTATATGTGATGGGGTACACACTATTGCTAACTTCGTATTTCTGTAAATTAATGTCCTTGTTGTTGAAACACAGTTGATAAAACTTCTGGATTCTCAAAGATTTGTTAGAAATATTTTTTCGCTACTTTGTTTAGAGGCCAATAGTGTATGTGTGTGTGTGTGTGTGTGTGTGTGTGTGTGTGTGTGTTGTTCCCAGGGCTTAGAACAGACCCGCACTACAGTAGAGAAAAAAGTAGAATGAACTACATTATCCGGCAAGTAAAAAAAAACCTGCCTCAATAGCATTAATTATACTAAGATCCCCCAAAACCAGATAAGCAAAGAAAATTCTACTTCAACTCAAAATTTATTTATAGGTGATTTAGAAAGCCATGTAATCACTTCGTGGAATAAACATATTTCCCGGAGCTTCCCTGTAATAAGAGCCACATATGTGATTGTTATCAAGCGTACACACCTGCTGTAACTTTTAACGCTAATCAAATACTTACCATCAAGCAAGACTCGGCAGAGCGTAACATTACTCTGTGTTGAACTCTTGCCTTCTCCCACAGTCCCCTCCAGGTAACTAACTCATCGTGCCCATACCGTTATCAACGTTAGTTTAATTTGTAATTTATTTATTTATTTGTTTAATTTAGCTTCTCACCACTTATCAGCTTACTATCCAGTTCTTTGTTAATTTGTTATGAACCTTATTGTCCAGTATTAGTACAGAAGGAAACCAGAGTAACCGGAGGAAACGTTTAACGTTTGGTTGGATCAATCTATTATTCTGGAAAACACCCTTCCCCCATTTGTCCCAGGCCGGGACTTGAACCCAAGACACTGTAATGAGAGATGAACTTTGTCTTAAGAACTTACCTTTGATAGGCTGGCGACTTCAAAAGTACGATGAACTACAACTGCAGGTTATACAGTCGTGTTTATCTAACTGTACCTCGCTCATCCACGTCACGAAATAGTTAAATATTTATTTAAATTTAACTCACTCTCAAATTACCGTTAAATCAACAGTAAGGAAACTGTTGTTGACTCCCGCAGGAAATACGCAAAAAAAAATCGTACATGGTGGATCCAGAATTTCAGGTTTGGGGGAGGGGGCAATTGTGTTCATTGACGAGTTGCTGGGCGGGGTGTGAGGACTGCTTAGACTTCCATATGATGAAGCCAGGAAGAGTAGAATGAGCTAGGCAGTAAAACAGAACTTCCAATGGAGAAAAACAAAACTGTACGAGAAGTTAGGACAGCAGAGGACGTGTCCACATACCCCGCAGATCATTGATGTGTATAACTTTTTCTACATTGGCCAAATTAGTTCATCGCGTTACTCTAGAGGAAAGAGTCATGGAATCTGTTAAACATTTGAAATATAAACAAATTTATAAATGAAAAGGTCTATGCAAAATAAATTACCGGTAAACTGATGCATGAGCAATGACAACCTAAGGTACCCCGAGGTGTTGGCAACTGAAGTCTTGAACCAGAGAAAGCGGAAACTTTCTTAATCATTATCTTTATTGGAACTCCTACACTGACTAATAATCTAGCTCAAAAATTCTTGAAATAGTAAATCTAATTTACGGAAAAAAGTGCTATTCAAGAGATGTGCAAAATACAGTGGTTGTCACTCACTCTGACCTAAGAAACCTTGATATTTAGCTTTGAAATCAATAAGATCCACCATCTTGCCAAGAAAAATATACACCCTTAGTTTATTGAAAACCAGTGAATAGAAACTTAGATATTCAACCGCAAAACATCTTGTTCACGGACGGACAGCCGGACGAGCTGCATTCAGTACGGAATATCTTCCCTCAAGGCTACAGTTGTAAGAAGTTTAGAAAGCTAGGAGCTAACAAAGGTATCGTATATACTGTAGTTAGAGTACTGAAATATATTGGGCGACTAGAGAAAATTAAAAATACATTAGTGACAAGTACTTATAATATGATCTTCAACTACACAAGTACAGTTATGAGACATATAGATCACAATCATGACCGACGGCAATGTTCTCACCCCTGCCGGTCTGCCCTTGACACACAAAGGTAAAACTAATGATGGATAGTCATATATAAAGGCTAGGGGAAGTATAAAACACGTCGATAGTGATGAAGACATTTGTCAGTTGTGGCGTCAAAATGATGCATTTGGAGGTGAAAATTAAAAGTACGAAGTCAGTTATTTATAGTTGATGAGAAGCACACTTTCATGCCCTGAGGAAACATTTTTATGACTACATGACTCACCCGAGGGCTCCCATATCCTTGAAATCCTTGTTTGTTGAGAGTGTGTCTGATAATAATGAGGTGGGCGTGATTAAGTAGATTAGGTGTGTGAAGGAGGGACAGAAAAAAAATATTGATTAGATATGAAAGTTTTGTAGTAACATTAATTGTAAGAAGTGTCTTTGGAATCGGTGTGTTTTTAGGATATTGCGTTGTACTCAGACACTTTAAACGAAGATAGAATTATATGACATCACTTCGTCAAACATCACACTTCAATATTAAGTATAACAATATTTAGATACAACTACTGTACATGAGATCGGGATTGGACAGAGCAAAATTATTCCAAGCATCGTCCATAGTCTCTTTACTTAAGGAGCATAAAGAAGGCGACTATTGCTTTACTGTGGTGATCTGAGACACCTTGGAGGTCGAGGTAGTTTAGCAATAAGCTCTGTGCTCTTGGAATCTTTTGAAGAGATTCCTTTCCTTTTCCCATTATCTAAAAATCCAAACAACAACCAAGTCCCTTTCAAATGTTAAATATTATTACGATCTCACTATAAGAAATTAAATAATATTAAAGATGTTGTTGTGTGGTAATAAACGATGCTCTGTTGTTGACCATGTGGGGGGTGAACACTACGGTGGCTCAGGATACCTTCGTCTATACTTTACCTTGGCGTCAGTTTTGTTGACGTTTGTTGTTCTCAGTGCGTGTGGACGACACCTGTTAGAGTCTTGTCATGTGATCTACGGGAGGTGAGCTGCCTGAGTCTGTTAACTCCTGTAGGCCGCCACTCTCATGGGTTTATAGTGGATTACGTGGTGTTGGAAGGAGTGTTAAGTGGTGGGCACTGCAGAGATAAGTTGCATGGTGGGCAGGGCCTTGTCTTCACTCTCCAATGCACTATTCCACATTTTTCCCACCGGCCAGTAGAGATAATAACAGTGTGATGTATTAATGTTATCCGCGTGACAGTGAAGTTTATTTGAGTAGTGTTGAAATATAAGTAGTATTGACCATTTTGAATAACTATTGTTGGCAATTATTATTCTTCATCAACTGTCAACATCATCATCAGGCGGGGATAATACCTAATATTGTAGGGAAAGGACCAACGTTTTTATTACAAAAATACTCTTAACTAAAAATTTAGATAGTACAGAATGCAGATTCAGTGGTTGAGAAAGGGAAGTACAGCGTAGATTACTTTGAATGTGCCTGGGCATTATTAAGTGTAGGTCATGGTCTGACCTGACCAAATGATCGTAGCATAATATTTAATTACATTTTAAATTGGTAAAAGTTCTTCCTTGTCTGAAGCAGAGCCCATACCCTCTTATGATTTGTATTTGATTTTTTCGTGGTTTTCTTCTGAGAAATTATAAGGTCAACCAATGCCATGTTTGAACTGTTCTTATTGAAATAGAGTTGCCAGTGATAACGATCTTTTACAGCATTTAAAACTTATTAGAGTGCCTTGTTATTGTTGCTTTGATTTGATTTTTTTCAATCTGCATTATTTTTTTAAATTTACTGTTCAGAACAGTCTGTTCCCCAGATATTTAGTAAAGCTACACTGTAGTACAAAAAAAAATCTGATAAGGTCTTCTATATATACAAAGTGTTTTTACTCAAATGGTGTGTGTCTGTCTGTTTATTGAAAATGAGAACCAAGCAAGCCTAACCTCATGCTGTTAGAATACCTCTGTACTTTAGTTAAGGTAGATAAGATAGGATGGGTGTGGGTGGTTTATTTCATGTCTTAAAAGAAGTTGACTTTGAATACCCTCGAGATATGGGTCACTATAGTCAAGAACAACTTTGCTCTAAAATTGCTGCTTTAGGTATGCAAGAATGGTGAAGTGTTATTAATTTGTTTTAATTTTATTGATTATTCCACCCTAAAGTAAATGTTAATTTGTCTTGTATGGGTACACCTGTACAGGTACTAGGATCTTCACAGGTGTGTTTTGTTTTTTTAATATATATAGAAAGGAAAAAACAACTACAATAAGATATGAAAATCATGTACAGTACGGTATAACTAAAGGATATTCTTTTAACATGACCATTTTAATTTTATGAATGCTGATCTCTTATTGAGACTGGAGCTAGGCTATTTTTCCATTCATGAGTTATATACTTAATAGATCTTCATATTTTATACCAATAATATATCAAGAAAGCATTGAACCTACAATCCCAGTTTCCCGTCTTCCATAATTTGTGGAGTTTAATGCTGCACACACTTCAAATGCCATTTAGGCTACCTGAGACATCCTACCCCTTCAGTACAGTAGCACTCAGCATTGTCAAGGCTCAAGGTCACTCCCTAGCTCACTTATAGTGTAGCTTGTGTAGTTGTTAAGCAAAAGCAAAATAGTAGATCATAACTGTACTGTATAGTGATGCCAATGAAACAAAAAGTGAGGAACTGTTGAAAATGAACAATTGGCCAACTCATTCTTAACCCCCCCCCCCCTTCCCCTGCTAACTGTCATGACTCACCCTAGGGAATTTCCACCAATTGGATGAACCACTGACTGCTATGTTCAAGCAGGTGGAGCTTTAATTTACTTTTATTTTTGTTTTCCACATTATTATATATAGCTGGTACATATCTTTTTGACAGTCCCTTTGATGGGTGTAGCTATTACCCATATACCCATTACAGTACTGTGTTGAGATAATTACAGTATGCTAGACTGATTCATGTTGTCTTCTATCAATAGTGGTTCAGCCCGGTAATTTCCCAAAGGATACTTTGTTTGTGTGAAAGCCATGCAGAGGGATACTTTATACTGTATATTTTTTTGTGAGTGAGTTCTCTTAAGTTAGTTCTCCTAATTCCTTTCTCCCTCACAGGTTTCCATTCTGTGTAATGAAATACAGAACTAAATAAATACTGGTATGCCCATAAATATTCCATCAAACAATATATATATATCAGTAAATAAGGTGACAACCATCTCCTTATCCTTTACCAGAACTTTATCAATAATTGAACGGCTGATGCATTGGAATTGTTGACTTCATTTAACGATAAGTCAGTTTTGGCTTGAGTTCTTTTTTACATTTTGTCCTGGTACCCTCCAACCCTTGAGGTTCAGGATCCATGACTGAGCTACTGATGACTGTGAAATTGTGTGTGTGACAGTCTGGAACACCATCTTGTGAGAAGGAGCAACTTTAGGGGGATGGATATAGAGGGAAACTTTTATCTTACCCCAAGAATATCCAAATAACAATCTTCACTTTGTACTGTATTATGAGTTAGGTGATGTTGCCCTGAACAGTGTTTCATCATACCCACAAATCCTTCCCAGCAACCGATGATTTAACTAGATTGGTGGTTTTCAAACCATAACGTCATGATTTCCATCAACCAGAGACTGTGATGATCCTTTTGTAAACTCCCCTCCACCTCCATTTGTGCCTACAGTACAGTAGCTATATGTAGGTGGGGGGTGTTTGAGCATGAGTTTTGAATAAGAGTATGGTAGTGTGTAGCTGGGCTTATGTGTTGGATTGAAAAATGGGAAATAATAAAAAATTATGGTCTAATCAGTCTCATTAAGAGGGAAAATGAGTGCTTGAGTGAGTTGCAGTATGATTGTATATTTCTAAGTCAGGGTAATTTAAAGGTAGCTAATTGAAATTCTATAGATTAGCATCTGCAGTTGTATGGCAAAGCAAAAATACCGGGTAGCTAGCTATTCCTGTTTAGTATAAGGGCTGGCAGGGAGTTGTGACAAGCCACGCATGGTAATATGGGATGACTTGCGGTAGTGTGGGTGTCCCAGGCTGGTAGGGATGAAGAGGATGACTTGTCAGAAACATCAACATATTCTCAAGGTGTATCATCTAATCCCTCAGTCACTTGTGTTGGTCACGGCAGTGTGGAGGTGTTAGTGAGTTGGCTTAAGGGTGTCTTCTGCTCTAGTTTATGGGTCCCTTGAGTGTGGTGATAAAATTGGTGATGTGATGTGAATTGTGTTTATGATGTGAAGGCATGATGATGTGTTTGTGTGGTAATTCTTATGTTTTTGAAAATATTGTGCTCAGTAACTGAACATTTTATCATACAGTTCATGAATGCATAATTATGTTGTGTGGGATTGTGGTTATACTGTACCTGTATACTGTATTGTATTACTGTATCCTTGACCATGCATAATTTAATGTAATTTTGTAGTTTTTAAAATTATATCTTAATACAGTATTTGACATCTGGGCTGTATACAGTACTTGTAAAATTTGAGAATATTCACATTCAGGAACTTTATTCAGAAATATAGCTACAAGCACAGAATTGGTCAGGTATATATTATCATGTATATTATAGCAATGCAGAGTAATTCAATGCTGTGAGAGTTCACTAGTTATCAAGGAAAATTGGGAGGATATCCAGAAAGATAAGATTATATACAGTACTGTATACAGTATAGAACAGTAGATATAAAGAGTGCTGTAGCTGCAGTATACAAGTACTGTACTGCACTGTATTGTGAATGAAAATAGTTCCCATTGGTGTCGTGGCCTGTTAGGAGCTACATATGTGTATACAGCACACTGAAGACTAAACCTTCAGTCCACAAGGGAACAGCTTAGGTGGTAGAGCACACTGCTGCCTTCACTTTCACAACTGTAAAGTTAAGTACTGTACCAGTAACCATTCTGCTGCTGAGTTGACTGAGCACACTCCACTCTGGCTGGCCACAGGATTCAGCCTGGTGATGTTTGGGTCAGGAAGTGAGTGTTGTATCCACTCATCTGCCATGCCTTCTATAATGAATGATTACTTAAACAGGGAATTCAATTTTTGTCATTAGAAGTTTTGAAATACAGAGTTTTCTTGGATAGTGTGTTTACCTTGAGACAAGTGTGTTATAACAGCCATGGATTGTGTTGACATCTAGGTGGGACTACTGTAGTTAACACATCAGTCATAGTGACATACAGTATAATTCACTGCTGCCACCTCCTTCCTTTCCACCCAGAAAATGGTACCAGTTAATGATCTTAAAGACAGAAAAACAATAACCACTATATGCTGTATACTGTGGGTGTTGAGTACTGTAACCAAAACTCAAGGACTGAAGAAAACTGTAACTGTAACATACTTATTTTGTTACATTACCAGTAATGTATTACAGTGTAGTGAAATAATGGAATGTAAATGAATTAGCTACACATAAATCAGATTACTGATACAGCACTATAGCACAGTACATGGGAACATTTGTGATTGAAAATTTACTTCGGCATCTAATAACTAATTCACCGGCAGATTCATAACAAAACCAGCTAAATGATAACTATTATAGCTTGACCTCTGAACAATATCCATACAACCGACCACTTTAAAGTCAGGTATAATCAGTTTGTCAATAGCTAGGTTCCTGGGCCAGCATCACATCAATACTACTCTCCTCCTCCTGGTAGTTACAGGCTTTTCACCCATCCCAGCTTGATCTGAGAATAACCTGACCAACTGTATCTAGCTACACACATTCTTGGTTAGTGTATAACTAAGGGTATTATATTTTCTCTCTGTAATAACGTAACCTTTTCTCCTTCGTTTTTTTCGTGGTTAGTTAAAAGGAGAAAGTTGTTTATGGGTGCCACCGCACTGCTTTAAGTTGCTATTTATTCCACAGGTATGAGTTTGTCTCCATGAAGGATGTGTACAAGTAAAGGAGGTTGGAGCAAGATGCAGCAGAACTCAAGGAAAGAAACTTAATAGATTCAACAGGTGGAAGATTAGCAGCTTCTACCTGAGAAGATGCCGTCCTTATTTGCATGCTTTGGGTGTGGTGGAGGTGGGGAGAGTGATGATATTCGAACGCTGGACTACTGTCACTGTTCCCTCAATGATGTTCCGTCGGATGTCTTTGCCTGCGAGCGTACCTTAGAAGAGCTTTATCTGGATTCAAATCAGGTACGTCATTAACCAGGTATCGTTCTTGGCAACACATTTCTCTTTGTAGACTGGAATTTGCTTCAGAAGTACTGTACAACATCTCATTGACAGTTTTGCAGTGTCATTAAGAAATTATCCAGCTAGACACTGAAGAAATGACCTGTGTGTATACGTGCGTAAGTACATTAGGTCTATGATGAAAGAATAAAGATATCTAAATCATGTGAATATTCTTGGTATCGTAAGTGTGGTAGTTTGGATGGTATGCTGTTCTATGTCACTTGTAACTCAGAGACGTTTGATGAGTCATTTAATATGTTAACTAGACCCCCTTCCCCCCAGCTTAAAAAAAGAAGAAAAGGTTTAAATATAACAAGTATGGGGTGGAGCCCTCTGTGTGTGTGCGTGGGTGGGTGCATGTGTGTCGAGTGGAATGTTAATGAAGTTTTTTTTTATTCTCGCTATATTTTAAAAGGAACAGCAAATACCTGGTAAATGTTGAGGCTGTTCATTAATAAAAAATTTAATTATCATTTTTATTATTATGTTATGGGAAATTAGAAAAAAAAATTATATATAAACATCCATAGATTTTAATAATTTTGTGGTAGAGAAATTCAAGGATAAATACTTTGATTACTTGAACAGGGTAAATTCTTACTGGGGCGGTCCAGTCTTTAAATTAGGCAGGGTGGAGCTTTAGAGGAGCAGGGCAGAACGTCTTCATTTGTGTGTGCGTGCATGCAGGCAGGTTCTGGTAATACCGGGAACTAGACTTGTGAAGGATCTGATTTTAATAGTCCAGTGCTCACAGCATAGGATTTAAATTTGCTGTTCTATATTATTCTTCATACCTTGTATATTCCATTTACAATGATCTAGGTTGAACTTCGTGTGTAAATGTTGTTGTAAAATTATGTCGTAATATTATAAGTACAGTCGATCAATCATGGTCCCTGTATAATTTCTGCTTGAGACTGCTAACTGTAATTCTAGGATTGTCCTTCTCAGGCATGATGTATTAGCCAAATCTATTTTATATGTTCCTTTAAATTGTCATAGATTTGAATGAGGTTTGTAGAAAAGTGAATTAGAAAATATCAAACTACTGTATAATACAGTGCAGTACAGGGTATTGGACATAAGGAACTTTTGTGTGTGTGTTTGTGTGTCAGTGACAATGCAAAGTGAAATTCAATTGTCACCCAGGTATTGCAGGAAACATGCAGGCATCACTCTGTCTTAGTTAGAAGAATCAGCCTTGAGTATGTACATTTGAATAGGATAGATATGAATGATTACTAATTACTGAATACATTGCTTCAGCTGAGTGAATTACCACGACAGTTGTTTTATTGTCATGGTTTACGGATACTTGGTCTGAGTGACAATGAGCTCACCTCACTGCCTCCTGCTGTGGCTTCCCTTATAACCCTCACCAATATTGACCTCAGCAAGAATGGTAAGGACCAAGCTCCTTTAGTTATGCAGTATTTGCTCTAGATTCAATAATTGTACTTAATGAAAATCCTGGGTATAACTATAGATCTTGTAGACACAAGAATTTAATGTATAGGTTAAACTTATTTTGTTTAAAGTAATTTTGGGTTTTACAAAAATTTACAAGCCTCCCTCAAGCCTGTTACCTGTAAGAAGTTGATTTGATTAATCATGAACTAAACTGTTTCAACCCTAATTTGATACCTAATCTTTGGATCTTTTGAGACACCCTTGTACTGTATGGTATATCTCATGACTTATTCTGTCACTACATGAGAATTATCGTACCTGTGTGTTTTATATTCCAATATCTGCTCTTCCACTCTACAGTACTTATATAATCTGAATCTTTCCCACAGCCATTTCTGACATCCCAGACCACATCAAAGGCTGCAAGCAGCTGAGTGTGGTGGACGCCAGTATCAACCCTCTGTGCCGACTCCCTGAAGGCTTCACACAATTGCTTTCATTACAAGAACTATATCTCAATGATACTTTTCTGGTAGGTACTGGTACTGTTACTACTGGGTCTTGTATCATCTTCTGGTATAATATTTGGATGAGATAATCTTGCTGATGAAAGGTTTTCCATTAAAAGAAGATGGAAAGTATTAAGATTATGAAAAAAATATATGTGCTGTATACTGGTAGATTTCATTGTGAGATAATTGATTGTAAAATTGGGGTCAAGATGAGACCGTAAACATTGTCACGAGATACAGTAGTAGAATAGTTGTTTATACAGCCATCTGTGTAAGGGTTTTGTTCCTAAAAACCATTCCTATATCGAGGTATGTCTGTGTGCATAGTTATTGGGTGAGAGGTCAGTCATTATGTAATATTTCAGGAATATCTACCTGCAAACTTTGGTCGGCTGTCGCGACTAAAGATTTTGGAGCTACGTGAAAATCAGCTGAACACTCTGCCAAAGTCCATCGCACGTCTCACCAGTTTGCAGCGCCTGGATGTTGGCCAGAATGATTTTTCAGAATTAGTAAGTTAGTTTAATATCATTCGTCATCAAGACAAGCGAAGTTGGTTTTTTCTTACAATACATTCATCCTCCACTAGCGTGTGCATTATCTTTAAACAAACGGTCAAATATTTCTTCACTTGTATTAGAATCCATCATTCTCTTGACCACAGTAAATAATTGGGTGTTGTCTTCCTTTCTCACTCACTGTCAGTTAACCATCATAATTGAACATAACTCTCTTAACTCCTTTTCCCTTTTATTGTTTTGTCTTTAACTTCTCTCTCCAGCATCCTTCAGGGAATCTATAGGCTGTGATGGTTTATTTTATCTTAATTTTATTGATCATTAGGAACAGCACAGTAATCCCTGTTTTATTTTTCAGCCAGAGGTAATTGGCAGTCTTGAGAACTTGACTGAATTGTGGTTTGACAACAACAAGATTAAGTCGCTTCCTCCTCTCCTTGGTCGGCTGAAGAAACTGGTTCATGTTGACGCGTCTAAAAACAAAGTGGACTGGGTGGCTGGTGAGGTGGAGAATTGTGTCATGCTCACTGACCTGCACCTCTCCTCCAATAACCTTAAGGTACAGCAACTGTTATTCATCAACTTCCAGTATGATATACAGTGTACATATATCAGTATTGAAGTAACATCACCTATCCTAGATATATGAGACAAATGTTATTTCATTTATTATATTTGGTATTTATCTTCCTCAAGTCTGAACCAATACAGTTTTTACACATGAGAATATTATTTACCTTGACAGGAACTTCCTGAGAAGCTGGGAGGTTGTCAGCAACTCCAGGTGCTAAAGCTTGATGACAATGCCCTAACTCACCTTCCTGAGTCAGTTGGTTGTCTGGCTGCCCTTGAAGAGCTGGTGGTCACCCAGAATGAGTTAGAGACTCTGCCAGCATCAATGGGTCTCCTCCGTGCACTACACACCTTACACGTCGATGATAATCTTTTAACAGGTAATCCTAATAATCAACTGAAGGATATTTTAAAGGAGTTCAATTTGGGTCGAATACATGAGAACAATTTTGTTTCTCCATCAGTTGGTGTATATAAAACTAAATGATCCAGAATAAGATGAAACTTGGGAAGTAGTATGGATATTGGCCAAGGAAATATTGTACTGTTTAGGAGAAAGTAGGTCAGAGTTTTCAGCTGACTGGAGGGTCATGTTGTAATAAGCACCTTTATAGTTTAATTAAAAGTCTTGAGCTGTAGAAGGTGAAACTTGTAGGCCCAAAAATAAATATAGATATGATAATATTATTAGCCTCAAGGATATTTGAATTTAGTTTATAAAGAGACAGTTCCTATGAGCAAAAATGCAGTAAACCGTTGCAGTATTTAAGACGGACAGAAAACTTCTCTGAATGAAGGTAATGGAGGCCTTTATAGATAACTATTGGACATAAGACATATGTTAAGACATCTTTATTGACTTGAGAAATCCATTTCACAGAGCTGCCACCAGAGTTGGGGTCATGTTCTCAGCTCACTGTCCTCACGGCCGCTTCAAATCGCCTCATGAGTGTGCCAGCTGAGCTTGGCCATTTGCCTCGTCTTGCTATTCTTAACTTATGTGATAATCTAATTCTTCACCTGCCTGTGTCTCTCACCAAGCTGAAGGTAAGAAGTACCTGCTTATGTATTGTTTTACCTGTGTTAATTTTGTCTTTATCAGCTCAATGGGAAAAGTGCAGGATCTGAAGGGGGACTTTTTAAATTTTTAACTGCAATAAGGGGTACTCAGCTACATTTGATTTATAAGTTCTTATAAATCAACCCCAGATATATAACCCAATCAATCAATCAGTCTTTATCAGCCAAACTCTTGTCTTAATTAAAGTAAGGATCATACAGGTACCTACTGAATATTTCCTCACCACCTACAGTCATGGGGTGAGGATATCATTGCTTAATGTAAACTAATATTAACACCTTCAATAACTAAAGACATTTACTGGTACTTACATATGTGTCACTTGTTAGTTGTCTTATGGCTATAAATAAAATATCATGGAATCATAACAAGAAGGTATTTATCAAGCATTGCATTGATACAGATTAGTGTTAATGTTGATATCTATAGATGTTATCCAGAGTTCCTGTAGTCATAAATTGTAATGAGACTAATTTATGTTGATGCTGACAGCTGCGAGCCCTGTGGTTGTCAGAGAACCAGAACAAACCTCAAGTCCAGTTACAGTCTGAGACCCTGCCTGAGACTGGTCAACGAGTCCTGACCTGTTTCATGCTTCCCCAACAACCTCGTGTTCTCCAGCCAGGTCAGTACAGTATTCTTTGTCTGGTTGTGTATGTTGATAGATTATATGTCTTTTGGTGTGTTGGTGGGTAAATGTATTCACATTTTCCATCCCATTTACTTGAAGAATTTATTGGTCACCAGATAGGGAGTACAGAATAGTGTACAAAGAGGACCTGAGGTAGATTTCACCATGAGGATGTTAGTCCTTTATTATGATGACAATGTTGTAGTGATAATTATAGTCATTTATAACATAGGAACTCTAGTAGAATGCATGGATAACATTTACCTTGTGCTGTAATTAACAGAAACTGTAGTGGAGACAGACAACTTCCCTGGCCAGAGTTGGGACGAACAGCGACGAGCAAAAACACTCATTAAATTTGCCTTCGACGGAGACGTTGACAAGCCGGGTCTCTTAACCCGTGCTCCAACGCCCTACCCAAAAGAGCTCAAGGCACTGGCTAAACATGCCCGTAACTTACACAGTCTGCAAAGGGACCCAGGCCGTCAGTTTGTGCTGGGACGTAGTCAGGATTCTAACAAAACTTCCTCATCATCAATAATTCCATCAACAAAAGATGAAACTGAGATAGATTCGTCCAGAAAGGTGAGATAAAAGTTAATATCTATGTTGTAGCTGTCAGGGTAGTAAAACTCTCTGTCCTTTCACACTCTTTTTTTTCTTCTGTGCAATACAGTGGTCCCTCGGTTAACGAATACAATTCGTTCCAGAAGGTCGTTCGTTAATTGAAAATTTCGTTAACCGAATCCATTGTTTCAATGGGATATTGGGTAATTGGTTCCAGCTCACCGAAAACTACATACAAAGTAAAAATAAAATGCAGTAAAGTACACTTACTTTGAGGTGTGTATGTAGAAGGCTCCTGGTTGATGATGATGATGATGGAAATTAGAAGTGGGGGTGGAGGAGAAGGGAGAAGAGAAGGAAGAGGGGGATGGAGGAAAAATCACATTCCAGGGGATCCATGCTTGATGCAGTCATTTCACCAATAAAATTTTAAGTTCACTAGGTATAATTCAAGATTATTTTCTTAAAATCAACCAGACTCAAATTAATTTTCTCCATGGGCAAACTAAAATCGTTCCTGACCATGGGAGTTTCCGGACCACAGAATGCCGGACTAGAGAGGTACAACCTGTATTAACTATACTTCAGAATGACCAATAATTTTAATGTAAAAATACAAAAATATTCAAGACACCAACAAAATCGATGTTCACTCCACTATAAACAAAGCCAAACTGACGCCTGGTGGGTGAGTCAAGCGGCTGATGGGCGCACAAAAAATTAGTTCCCTGTACTGCATTTATTATCAACATGATAACTAAATTTTAAAATGACTAATAATTTTAATATAAAAAATGCAAAAATATTAAAGAGCACAACTGTCTTGATATTTACTCCCCTGGAAACAAATGTAAACATAGAACAGATTACTGAATTGGCAGACTAGCCCATCAGCTGATGCTCACAATAAAACTTGTTTGTCGTAAGGATTTCGTTAATCAAAGTTTTGTTCGTTAACCGAATTGAAGATCCTTATGGGAGGTAATTCGTTAACCGAAATTTCGTTAATCGAACTGTTCGTTAACTGAGGGACCACTGTATGGGTACTCCTGAGCTTGCTGATTATGAATATGTGGTCCACGATTCGATTGCAGAGTAATTAGTGGCCAAAATGACCCTTGAAAGATTTTTCTGACTTTTTCGATGCTAATTACTCTTCAACTATGGGTTTCCAAGGTGTGATTTAGGGGTTGTGTGTTATTCTGAAAGTACTTAATTAGTTAAACCACTTCAATTTCAATTCTGAGAAAAAAGTATATTTTGGTCAAAAATTTTGTAAGGTGTAAGACTTACGTTTTTGGTGGTTTTGGGCCAAAAATAAGATTTTGCTGAAAATCACAATACTGTATATATTTCATCATTAAATAGTGTTTTAAAGATTCTTAATGCCAGTTATGGAAACTTTATAGTCATCTTTTCTATTAGAAAAAATAAAAAAGGATGTAATTATTATCTTTCTAGTTTTTAGTGGAGAATTTACACTCTTAGGGAATGGATTGTAAACTCACATTAGATTTTCGTATAATGTTGGAACATTATTTGGTAAACATAAAGAGAGATAGTTTACCTGTCTCTCAATAATGACAGAAGTTGTGAGTTGTGTAGATATTCTACAGTGAATTGATGTTGATATTTCAGGGTAATGACATTGCACTGAAGCAGCCATTACTAGATCAGTCTGGTAATGCTTGTGTCCCTGTTGATGACTCACTGGAGGCAGAAGAGATCACCTCACCTCTAACAGTAATAGAACCACAGGCTGAGGAGCGTCCACTGCTGCGGGAGGCTCGCAATGTCCGCAACACCTACGGCAACATGACCAGTGCCTCGGCTGCCCTCAACAACAAAAATAACGCCAGTCTTTCCAACGTATCTAAGCATGTGACCCCAGATACTGCGATGGCAACTGACCGTCCTTATGCCATCGGGGATAGAAAGATGTTTGGTCATGCACAGGTGAGAATATTACTTACTGTGTATCTTCTTCATGAATCATTTGAAGAATTACAGTAGTACCTGTACCTGTCACACTGTCCAATTGGCTTACAATGGTTTTCATATACCTGTACTGTAATGCTCTTGTGCAGAAGTTGCTTTTGGGTGATCCTCACTCTTTGGAAAAAAAATTAAAAACATCCTGTGGCCTACACATACAAACTTACTGTGAAAATACAGGTTAAGTATTTTATTGGATCTTGATGGTAATTTTTCTTACCATACATTAAATGTGACCATGATTTTTATTTCAGGTTGTGGCAATGACTCAATCTCGGGATAAAGTGGTGATCGACCCCAGTAAACCTGTTGTGTCTGGTATGGAGGAGAGCAGAGCACAAGTTGCTTACCCAACACACGAGTCTTCCCCGCCATTATCCCAAGAAACCACCATAGCTGCCACTCCATCATCTGCAACAGAAGGGGAATTGGCAGGTGATGTCTCAGACAAGCGCATTAAGAAACCGCCGCCTTACCACATTGCAGCTGTGATGTCACGGCACGCTGCAGATTTTAACGAATCTAGTGTGGAGGTTTCTTCGGCACCCAGTGGTATCCAGGGCAGTACTGGACTCACTGTTAAGGATCTGCCAACGTCACAACAGGTACCGGAATATGTAGTATTTAAATTAATAGCACTGAAGGTATGTGTGTGTGTATGCGTGCGTGAGTGCGTGCATATTATACCTCTATTAAATACTGTATTTGGTAAAAGCAAGAAATCTGCTATTAGGATATACTGCAGTATACATCTATTGATGAATATGGTTCAATTCTGTGTGTATTGAAATAATATTTGATCTATTTTACACCACAGAACTCAGCTGCCTCACCAGCAGCAGAAGATGAGAACAACGACACAAGTAGCTCCAGTGACAGTGGCTATGGCAATGGGAAGATATCCAGTCAACAGAGTGAGTCTTATGTTTACTTGTAGGTTTTCCCTCTCCTTTATATGGCTGGTTATGTGTAATTACAGGACAATATTACATAACTATTTGTGTTTGATACTTAGTGTGCTACCTGGTAATTAATACATGGTTATTTTTGTGAGGCAGTTTAGTACCTTTGATTCCTAACAACCTATTTAGAACATTGGAGGAAGTGGCTGAGAATTTGTTATGCCTATTTTTGCATTGATTCAGTCAATGACTGTGTATTAGTAATTAAAATCTAGTTTGTGTAAGTCATGTGTAAGGGGAGTCTATTATATAGGTGAAGTCTACTGTGCAACCCATTATTTAGAGGAAAAGAAGAATATCAAACATTGATTATTATCTTGGGGCATTTTGATAATGGTGATGCAGAAGGTCTAATGCAGGCATGGGCAACCCTTGGCCTGGACCATATGTTTGTGCAGCCTGCGGAGTGATTGACAGATTCTATTTAATGTGGCCCATGATTCAGGTAAATGCAGCCAGTTTATGGTGAGTAAAGCTATATTTATTAAAAGAATATTTGTCACACACAATTCATTACTTTTTCATCACCTAAGAGTAAGTAACTACAAAAATGTAACAGTGAAATAAGTATAGTCAATAATATAAACATTTTAACTTGTGTGAGTTTATGGGCCAAGTTCAGCACAGTCTGTTTGAAGGATTAGCTGTTATGTGGCAGTGAGTCACTAGGGAATTAACTTAGGTTGGGTAAGTCCAAGTGGTGTCATGGGCAGCGGTCACACAGGGTGCAACTAATTAAGTACTTCCAGAATAAAAAAAAAGAAAATCTTTCAAGCATCAATACGACCGCTAATTACCCCGCAATCAAATCGTGGACCATAGATTCAGAATCATATATATATATATATATATATATATATATATATATATATATATATATATATATATATATATATATATATATATATATATATATATATATATATATATATATATATATATATATATATATATATATATATATATATATATATATATATATATATATATATATAAAGAGAGAGAGAGAGAGAGATGTGCCTATAGGTTGTTTCATTGTAGTTCCTCATGTGTTAAGATTACCATTGACATTATTCTGGTGGGTGTCTCATATGTAAAAAAAAATGCTGTAACTGTAGGCAAAATCATTGTATTCACAGACTGCTTCACTCATCTTGTGTTAAATGCCAAGAAACATTAACATATTACTTTAAAAGTTATTATGATGGATTTATTTCATAAATGGGAAAAAGGCTAATTGTAAACTGAAAATATGGTAAGGTGGACGTGATGATAAACTGCTTCACTGTCCGTGCTAACACAGTATTAACATTACTTTTGGGTTAGGTAGGATATAAATATTGGTGGGTTGGCCCACAGAAAAATACCTAAATCATAATGCGGCCCATGACTGAGGAAAGGTTGCCCATGCTGGTCTAATGTATTAAAGGTGGCAACAGCAGCAGCAGGGAATCTTGTATTGGTTCACTTTCTTCAAAAGTGGTTGTATGTCTGGGGGTTTGGTGGGAGTGTTGAGGGGAAGGTCATGGGATATGGAGGGAGTTTTGCCTACTCATTATCTTTGAAATATAGTCTAAAGGAATATTCCTTTTATTATGATTACAATAATGTGAACTTTATTTTCAGTTACTGATGACCAACACTGCAGTGATGGCAGTAGTATCAACACTCCTTTATCTCCACAAAACCTCACAGACTCTGCACTATCAATGCCCTCAACATTATCATCACCACTTGGCAGTGCTGATGTAGTGTCTCCACATTCTGTCAAATCCTTCAATACACCAATGTCATTATCTTCTAAAGCATCTTCTTTATCAGCATCTGTTGCAGTCTCCTCCAATGTAACACTACCAGTAAGTAGCCAGTCACTTGCTGCACCACAGAATATATCTTCAGCCATGTCACTGTCATTTCCCGTCTCTTGCCCTTCCTACGACAACTTTCAAAACCCCATCACATCAAGATCTGGGGAAGTTTCTTACCCAGTATACAGTGTTGCCACATCCAATGCCAGACCAGCTTCTATTGCCACTGGAACTCAGTTAGAGCATTGCAGCGCTCGAGTGCCACATCGACCGGGATCCCTTGCCCTAGGAACTCTGGCAGATTCCGCCCTGCTCAACAGATTGCCTCGTGACCAGCGGCCGGGATCTTTGGCTGCTCCCATCAATACCTTGGGCATACCACCAGCACCTGCCAGAGCAGTGTCTCACATGGGACTTAATGTCACAAGTCCAACTAGACCACACGACCTGTCAATGTTCAAGAACCAGGATTTGACTCCAACCAGACGGGGATGGACCCCAGACCAACAGTCCTTTGGTGGAACAACTAACCATTGGCAGGAGAGTAATGGCCTTGTCTCCATTATTGATCAGGTAATGTGTTTTTATACCATTTATATTACTTAGTGGGGGTGGGGGTGGGGGGGGGGCAGAAAAGGACAACCCCAGTTCATACATAAACTTTTTTGATAAATACCTCAAAGAAAGCATCTCAGATTAAGATAAATCTTGGTGTGGAACTTCATGTCATGGAAGTCTAGACCTTGATAGTCATTGTTTTCCTGCTTTCGTTGTTTTACCAGAGTTGTGGTCTCTCTTCATCATCAAAATAGTGACAGCGGTTTATACTGTATCACTTCTAGGGGAAGCCGAATTTACACATGCTTACACGTAGCTCTTTATTTGTACAGTATAGCCACTTCTCCATGTTCATGATCATTAACCAGATGCAGTGTACATAGCATCTGATCACACTTAAGATCTTCAAATTCAGGCACTTTTGAGACCAAGGCCCTCATATTATGAGCCTTGGGTAATGTTTAATGTGATTTTGTAATATTTTTGTTTTGTATCATTCAGGTGACGAGCAGCTTGCTAGAGCATGGTGATAGTCCACCACCCAATATGTTGGCCAGTAAAGTAGTGCCGTCCTCCAACACTATGTCTGTGACACCGGTGCCATCAGTTGGATATTCTCAGATCACCACTCACTCTGGTATATATGAATCCTCAAGAAAGGCTTCAGTCACTTCTGTGAATGCATTTTCATCAGGAGTTCACTTAAGTTCTGGTAGTGGTAGTGAGTGCCAGGATAGTAGTAGGTCCTCAGTAGGTGGTGTTGGCTCTTCTGTTGGTCCCACAAACTTCACACAGGATCAGCCACGAGGAGAGGTGCTGCACCCAACACCCCACCGCCCACATCTCTCCTCCTCTAGTTCAAGGCTAACCCATGAATCCTTACAAGATGCTATAACTTCTGCCCAAGATACTCCCAGTGATCTTCAGCAAGCGGCCGGTCATGAATTACGCCCTGAAGCACCCCAGGCCCGTGAAGGGGTGAATGGTGTGGGGAACGCTGAGTCCACTCTTTCTTCTATAAAGGCCGCCCCAAAGCCCCTCTCAAGAATTCCATCTCGGAGCCCTGAAACAGCTCTACCTGTTAAGAACCTTCAGAAAGACTCCCCCATCTCTAGTCACTCATCTCACTTGCACCACGAGTCCAGAATTCCCACTTTGGGTAGTATGGGACGCAGCCCAAGTAGTGAGACTCATTCTTCTGTCGAATCTAGAATACCAACTCCAGGTAATATGGGCACAAGTCCAGGTGGTCTGACTCAAGAATCAAGAGTTACTTCACACTCTCACATTCCCTCATTAAATTCCAAAGGACCTAGTTCAAGTAACTTGACTCATGATAAACACATACTGGGTGAGTCTCGCATACCAATGTTAAGCAGTGTGGGACGAACTCCCAGTAACTTAACACATGATTCCCAGATTTATGGCGAGACCCTTAAACCTGTGGGTTACAGCCCCAGTGCTGAACCCCATAACATGAGTGATTCTCGGATTCCCGTAATAGGAATGATGGGCCGAACCTCCAGTAACCTGACTCGTGAGTCCCTTGGTATGGGTGCAGGTAAACACGGCAGCCCAGATGTAATTACAGGAAATAAAAATTTCACCCCCAACAATAAATCCCAAATAGCAGGAAGCCCTGGGAGTAATGGATCTGGTATTCCATCACTGGTCACACAAGGCAGAAGCAGCAGTAACCTGAGCTCCAACATACCTAGTCCTGGCACTGTCTCAATTGGTATGCAGAGTGATGCCAGCAAACACCAGGTTGTGTATGGATATGCCTCTAAACCACAGAATCTTGGAGATACTGGCCAGATGTCTTCACCGTCACGGCTTCACTCGCCAGGATATTCTACTGGGATTCGTCCTCCCACAATTCACTCACCTAATCAACAGCAGCCATCACACCAGCCCCAGGTGAGGGGATATCCCAGCGGCATACGTCCCCCGACAGTCAATGCAGCCATCAACACACCCGGCATCCCAATACCATCTCCCGCTTCTCCGACCAGCCAGTTAATGAACCCTGGCTCTCGTGGCTCTGTCACCTCCACGGGATCAGCTTCTCGCATCCCAATGGCTGCAGGTGGGAGCTGGTTCTTGTTATTGATTTTTAAACTTTGTTTTTATGCCTTAGAAAAGTTCAAAGCAAAATGCATTATTATCTGTAGTAGTGTTGTTGAAGAGTAACGGTCAACCTGTGCTGCTTTGAATTGTTTTTGTATATTTTTTTTATTAAAATGACTCCCTTATGCTTCCGTTGAATATATGATAGTAGTCAGGCAGAGGAGGTATCCCTTTATATTACCTGTACTGTTTTGTCCTTTCTAATAAACATGGCGCTGGACACAAACTTGGAAAGGTTCAAGCTGCATAGTATAGTCTTTAAGAAGTGTTAATTGAAGATTTTATACACTTAAAGGACTGAGAATATTTACATAATTCACTTAAATAGTTTAATACTGTATATTAAAAACTCTTATGTCTACCAGTATACATTATAATATGATATAGTTTGAGATAGAATGTTAAGAAGTTTCACAGCTTGATTGAAAAATGTTCTAGTAGTAGTTTTAGGAACAACATTTTTTAATTCTACTTTACTTTTACTCAGACATCTAAAGGTAATATTAATTTCTGTTAATCTTGGCAGGTGGGGCTGCATCTAGGTTACCAACCCCAGGGACCAACAAGCTGCGGATGTCACCATCAGTGGCGCCGTCTCCAGATGGCAGCAAGACCAACCACTCTGCCTGGATGTTTGGTCAACACAAGAATGCCCGAGTGGTATGTCAGAATGTACGTACGCTGCACTAACACATTAATGGCATATTACTAATGCAGCCACGCTATATTGCTTTACTTAGAGCAGAGCCTCGATCATTAATTTCATGTTTCTGGGCAGTAAAACATGTACAGTAAATGCTTATGGGTTCCATTGTCACTCAAATTATCAAAAGAGCACTGAAATTTTTTTACTCACCTGTGTAGATTACATCAAATTTTAGTACAGTCATTGTTAACTTCACAGCTCCAGTTCCCTATTCTTCTCCATAATTTCTGAAACTGTGATTATAAAAGTTGCTGAATTATTAAATAAATCAAAAGGTGGAAGATTTTAGGAAAAATAGTACAATGATCAATTGTCTCACCAAGTGGAGGAACCTTTAAAATATCTCCTTTTCCCTCTGTTTTCATTTTTTTTTTTTTTTTTTTCAGAACTACACTTGGCTGCCTTTTATTTTTTAAATTGATTGTGTTGAAACTTGAAGCCCCTTAGCCTTTCACAACACTGTATGGTCCCACATTATTGGAGTACATTTTGCTGTGGTATTTTGTCTGTCTATCGGTGTGCTCTTTTAAAGTGTTATCATATTTAGTGCGAGTTGTGACAGTTCTCTTATTGTGATTTTTGAGTGACAAGTATATGCTGCCTGCTTGCTCACAATGATGTATCTTGGCATCAGTGTACTGTACAGTATTGTGTTGGAGGCAGATGCTTTACTGTGCTGCTGTGAGTGTGTTATTATTGTCTTACTAACAAATTTATCACTTGCAGGAATTTGGACAATGTGTGATGTATGAATTTTGAATTGAACTTTTGAGTATAATTTAAAATATATTTTATTCTCTTTCTTTTTCTAGGATTTGGGTGACAGTTTTGTATACCTGAAATGACCACATATTTAAAGGATAAGTTCCTTCTTGAAATACCACTCTTGTCTCTCAATACTATCCAACAGTTTTCACCTGACAGTATTATTGACACTTTCAGAGATTTTTTTTCAAGATAGATTATATAAACTGAAACTTTAATGTAACATAGTAGTCTTAACAGTTCTTGGTAGTACAGTATAGTATGCACTAACCAAACTAGGCTTGACCATCACTGCTTTGTTCCAGCGCTAATGTGTATCTCACGTGTCCTACAAAGCTAACAATATCTCAAAAGCTAACACTCTCTCTTCTAATACTCGTATCTCACTCACCATCTCTGCTGGAACATGATAAATCCATGCCTACTTTTTCATTCTGACTTTTTAAAACTTCTGCCCCCCCCCCTCCCCCTCATGCTACCATCCAGACCAGGAAATTTTGGGTTCCTGAACGAAGAGTTTCCAAGTTTCACAACAAATGGTAAATATTTAGGTTTAAGGTCATAGTTATATTTAGTGCACTCACAACCGGCCAGCACTTATTCAACACGTATCACTTGCTTGGTTGGGCTACACCTGGTATGTGTGCATGATCATGCAACACTTTTTACAGTATAGTATATACAGATAACATATAAAGTACACATTATAAAAGGTGTGGAATCAGCAACACTCTGTAGGACAAGTGTTGAGGCTGACTTCATAATTTATTATTGCATAATATACCTAAATAACACTTAAAATGCTATTCACCATTTTACCAAGAATTTTACTGTCATTTAGCACTTAGTTTACCTTAAAATGAAGATGTGGCAACCAAGTGGATACAGCATTTGTCTTCTATCCTAGGAGTTGTTGATTTGATCCCAGGGGGGCACTCCTAGCCCACCCACCTGTAATGAATAGTGTACAGTACAGATACAGTACCTAATTGTACAATTTGGGAAATTAAGGCAGTTGAGTGCAGTGCCAACTATGCTGCCTGCCTGTGTATCAAAGGCATGATACACAGTGTGCTGTATACACATTGTCTTTAATGGACCATTAGGCAAATGGGAATCACTTTTTGACTATACACATGCATATTTAGGCAACTTCTGATTTACCATTGTAACATCTTTACAGCCAGTCAGTTCTTTTTTCTGCTATACTGTGTTATATGTATTAAGTCCCTGTATTGTAAACTGTTTGACATTTGTTGAGTCATTTACATAATATTGCTGATATTTACATAGAATTACACCAGTTACTTACACAGTCATTACATGTTAAACTATTTGAAGCCATTCAGCTTTTCAGAGCATTATGTAACAATGGGAAGACTTGTGGTACTATAATTGCATCAGAGAGCCTTGAGTGGAGGTTGCATGCAAGATAATTATTTATGGGGGATAATTTTTATTGCAGGTCTGGTATTTAATGCTTGTTCTTTCAACCTTAAATGCTGCCCCCAAGCTTGTGATCGGAAGGGCCTGAATGAGTTATAATTGATATAGTACTGTGCTTCTGGCTGACTTGGTACCACTGCATGTATAGTATAGTAATGAATCTACACTTCTCTTCACAGTGTACTTGTTCATTGTATTTTCACACACACACACACACACACAGGAATATATATACTTTATTTTATATATTGTTTATTTTATCTTTCTTGTAGTTCAGAACACCCACCCTGTTTTGCTGTTCTAGATATCTTCCTCAAAATAATTGAAATACCCATTAAGAACCCTTCTTACAGGTAATAGGCAGCAATCAAACAGGGAGGTTCTGGGAATATATTGGAAGCATAATGTATTGTCTAATGGTAGACACTGCTGCCATATGTACGGCATTTTAGGGGAAAGTGAAAACTAATGTTTTTATGTAGTAAAGATAGCCTTTTTAATTGGTTTATTGACATGTTTTTGGTACTGTATTGTTAAATGAATGTATGCCGTATATTTTATCAAAAAAGGTTATCTCAATACAAAGTTTGTTAGGATTAAGCACGTGCTACTGTATGTGTTTCATGTTAAGATGGTTGTAGTTTTTTATGTCTTACTTAAATGTGACTACAGTACAGTATATGTTTTGTATGGTTTATGTGTACTGTATTTATGTTGATTCCATGGGTCCTTGGTATGGATGGGCTCCTACCAGCTATTTTACTCTGCTACATGTTTGCTGGTCCGGTGCAGGACTGGATAACTAAACAAAGTTTGCATGTTGGTGTTTGTGCAGTTCCTGAGATGCCGGAAAGATGTGGAATTTAAAACTTGACTTTTTTTGGTCTGAGAGTTTGGAATTTTGTTAACGTGTTATAAAAGGCATGGAAGCACATAAAGTATGTTGGGTAAATGTGGTGACTATTTTGCTAACAAGCTCTGGTTATTCATTGAGACTTCCACACAAGAACATCTCTCTGATAGAGCCTGCCTTATCCATCATGTTTGTGCAGTCGGTTATTAGAACACCAAGCTCTCAGGACAAGGCAGGTTCTGGTAGGGAGTGTTGTACAGTAGTTATAATCCAGTAATCATACAAGTTACTCCTCTGTTTTTCTGGACAATAAAAGGAGATTTCATACTTCACACCCTGATTTATAACAACAGAATGTGATGTTATATTTAAATTGTGAACTTTAATCATTTATTTTGTCACAATGTTGGAAAAATAATTGTGGAAGTAATGGAATATTATTGTTTATAATCTGTACAAACCCTGCATGAGGAGATGCTTGACTTACAATGGTGATTAATTTGATCAATGTCCATGTCTGAGATTTATTTTTCAGTTCTCAGAAGGGCTCAGGTAAAACTGATTCAGACAGGGTGATGGTGGGGGTCCTAGTAAACTGATAGAGTAAGATTGCCACAACCCATAAGGACTGTGTCGTAAACTGGGTCATGATTTATAACCTTCAATACGGGGACGTCACATTTTAATATTTTATTTGACTAAGGCCGGGTGATTTTATTCAGCTCAGAGAGAATCTCGTACACAAGTCTAGCTCCTGTGCAAAGTTGTCTCTCTCTGAATTATATCACTTCACTTCGGGATGGCTTTGAAATCGACCTGGACCTCTTAAGTTATAACCTGATTTACCGTTAAACTGTGGTTTGTTCTGGCCCAATGTATCGTATTGTACTGTGGGCAGGACTGGAAATTTGCATCATCTGGGGACGGCCTTGAAAATGTTAATAATTAAGCTCTCTGGGGTCAAGCAGTAATTTGCTGTAACACTAATGTCCATCATCCCTATCCATTACTTGAACTGTCTGATTCTTAGTTTAACCCTTGAGCCCTTCAAGCATGATCTGTGGTTATATAACATGAATATTTTTTTTATGCTTTTAAATCATAGTATTGACTTACACCATCCTGTTCAATGCTGTCATTTTCCTTTATTTCATCCTTATCCTCTCAACCACTTAGGGCATTTTTCCTTCTTCTCTCTCAAGTTAATTCTTTCAGTTTAACATTCAATAGATGTTTAACTCCAATCCAGATACACTCATGTTTAAATATTAATAACTTATATCCTTGTGTTTAGCGTTTATTAATAAAGTTATGTTTCTCCCACAGTTCCCGGTAGTAATAGAAAAGAATCCAGATTTGGGCTTTGCCGTTGGCCAGTCACACACTGACCCAGAGGATAAGGTGAGTGAGTAGGAGATCATGTTGGTGCTATGTAGCCAGCAAGGTGAGATTAGTTCCGGTAACCCAGTTCTTGATGTGGTGCGGGAAGTATCATAAAAAAGTCACTCAAAAGCAGGGTGAGCTCAGTGACAAGGACAAGCTGTTGCAATTGTAGGATATGAAAACTTGCTGGTTGGTGAGATGTCAGAGTATGTGGCCGGCCAGGGGAGGTCATTCTCACACTTGTCTGTCTAGTACAGATGAAATAGTTGCTACTCTTTTGTTGCATATCAGATAAACTGTTCCAAAGATAATTTATTTATATTTTGAAGTACCCTGTAATTTGTAATTTTAATTTCCTCTACAGAGCATATATGTGATGAGTGTTGTGGGTGGAGGAGCTGCGTCGTCTGCACTCAAAGTTGGAGACAAGCTCTTGCAGGTTGATGGTGCTGACCTGCGTTCTGCTGATCTATTGACTGCAACCTCCATCCTCAACAAAACTTCAAATACCGTTAATTTAATGGTGTCTCGCCTGCAGTGACCTAAGCACTCCTACTTTCTGGCAGCAAAGGCTACTTGATGAACCATTTAGAGCAGCTTTTTTGTGATAATGCCATCAGGCTGGATATTGATAAATAACTATACTATATGCAGCTAGAAACATAGATAATTATATATAAGAAAACAACAAGGCTGAAACACAAGTCACGTGTGCATGGTGTAGCGTTAGTCTACATTAATGATTCACTAAAATATGGTTGTGCATTAGTGCCTAATGTAAATTTGTATATGACTAGAATTAGATGAATTTATGAATGTGTGTGTGCACACTCTTAACTTGAGGAAGCATGAGAAGTGCACACACAACAGACTTAATTAAAGAATATTTCTTTGGTACACATCGAGAGTGGAAAATATCAAATTCATGTGATACAAAGGAAGAAGCAGAATAAAGTATATGGTGTTATATCAAACATTCCCTTATGTCAGGCATTCCTTGTATACAGGCATTTATTATACATTCCTACCATGACACCACAGAGTTGTAAGCTGAAGTGCACTACCCTAATACTGTATCAGTGATCTAATATTATGTGTCTTTTCCTTTAGCTGTCTCACCCTCCAAAAAGGTGGTACAGTAGTGAACCTTCCAGTTCTGTATAGTTCAATTGGCTAAGATGCTGCTCAACATTTTGTCTTACTTGGCGAGAATATGTTTGCCATATTATACATACCTTTTAAGTTAGGTATTATTACCTGCCTTCTTATCATAATCATCAATAAAATGAGTGATACAAAAATGAATTGTCTTTATGATTATTACAGTAATGTTGTACTGTACAGCTATTTCTTCAGATGCAGTTTAAGTGCCTTGAAGATTCACCAAGATGTTGATAAAAGTACAAAAAGTTTTGGCACAATTATTTCCCTAATGAGATGTTTTGAATTTTATATTTTGTCAAATTGTTTAAACTTGATTGTCTCAGGTTCTGTGTTGTCAAGCTTCAAAGTTTACTAATCTCAGTGCCTGATTATTAACGTAGAGGATGGAGACATTATCCAGATGTACAGTGTGATATTCATAGCAGAGTGACTTCATTGCTTAGGCCTCTCACACATGCACTTGTGTACTTTAGAGTGCATGAAGACATGCACAAATGTAATTGTATATCTCAAGGTATACAGTTTATATTTATCATGTATAATTTTATATATATACATATGCCTACAGGATATGTCCATCACCACACTTGCATATGAAAGTCCTAATATTTTTTTACTTATAATGTATGTAAATGGAAGGATACACAGCTGTTACGTTATATTAGCGCATGAAGTAGATACAAATAGTATTTGTTCATAACTTATGAATGATGCTAAGTACAGTAATACTGGCAAACTGTTCACTCTGTATGGTTATGCTTCTCAAATTTTGGGAAGCACTTACTTGTAATTATTTTCAGCCATTTTTTCATGAATCCAGTGTCTGGTCCATAATTTCTTGACAGGTAGAGACAGACAGAGGGAATCATGAGAAGCTATAAAAGTGTGTACAGTATCTTAATGTTAAATTCAGGCCTGGGTCAAAAGTTGCAGGTCACGGATCAGGTTTTAAAGATAAATTTTTCACTGGCCCAGTGTTTGGTAAATATTGTGTATTATAACATCATATTAGCTTGATGCTAGAGGAAAGCAATATTTTTGGCTGTATGTAGCACTTAACAAAACTATACAAGTGTGCCTGTAAAAGTAGGGAACTGAAGGCTTGTACATTATTGTTTTCTTTAGGGTACTGTACCGTATGCCCCGAGACATGGCATGGAAGATTAAAGCACTATATTCGTGCACCATATAAATCATAAAGCATCTATATATTGTATGTAAGAAAACATATGAAGTGTTGATAATTATGTAATGCTCTATAACCTGTAAGGTAATAACTAGAAGTAATAATAACTTGCTTTGTAAGTAATGTATGAAATTATGTTTGACATCTGTTAAGAAAGGCTTTTAATGTGTTGTACAGTATACAATAACTTAATTCACATTTTAATCTTATGACGCTAACATAAATGATGAACACTTATTTCATAGCGACACATACAGTACAGTACAGTACTCGCATTAAGGGAACAAAACACATGATTACCAGTACAGTAATGGCAATTCTAGGTGAAGAATGATGACACTTTTTTCCATGTAAAAAATAAATTATGGCAAAAATTTAAATCTGTGTGCTCTTATGTGAAGAACAAGCGAATTGCATATACTGTATTGGTAACAGATTGGGTAGCTACCATGGGTGTACAAACCTCAGAATGTAGTAGTTTTTTGAGAAAATAACATTTATATTAATTTTTGTTTAAGACGTGTTATTTCCCGCATCTTTGACATTAAATATTGACACTGCCATTGACTGGCAGAAATTATTATGACCAAATACGTACAGTGGTCCCTCGGTTAACGAGCACAATCCGTTCCAGCAGGTTGCTCTTTAACCGAAACCATTGTTTCAATGGGTTTTTGGGTAATTGGTTCCAGCTCACCAAAAATTGCCTAAATTCAACAAAAAAGGTAGAAAAGTACACTTACTTTGAGGTGTGTATGTAGAAGGCTCCTGGATGATGATGAAGGCATTGGGGTGGAAGAGAAGTCACCCCATGGCACCATTTCACCCATAAAATTTTAGTTCTCTTGGTGTATTTCAAGATTATTTTCTTTAAATCAACACTGCACTGCATTATATATTGTCAATATGTAAAATATATTTCAAAATGACCAATAATTTGCTTGGAAACACAGAAAAAAAGCGTTTAGTTGAAGAGTCTCAAGCAAGATGTTACCTCCACTGAAAACAGAGAGAGACTAACTCCTGTCTGGTGTGTTAACAGGCTGGATGGCACGCCAGAAACTAGTTTCTTTACCTTCAATTATGTTCAATAATTGTTAAAATGACTAAAAAAGTTATATTAAACTTTTAAAATTATTGAATAGTATAAACTTCTTGATATTTACTAAAATAAAATAGTAAGGAATTTAAGCCCTAAAACCGATTACTGTATTGGCGGACTAATACTACAGCTGGTGGACCGCCAAATGCAAGCGAAAACGTGTTGAATTCGGCTCGTAAAAAACTCGTTAATCGAGGGATTGCTCGTTAACCGAAGTTAAGAATCTTATGGAAGGTAAATCGTTAACCGAGGGACCACTGTATTATAATTATTTCTTTAGTTTGTTTTCCTTGCCTATATTTTTTTTTCATTTTTCTTTTTAAGGACACAGTAAGGATATGTTTTTGTTCAGGTGATTGTGGAACATCCTTGTTTCTTCCAATTTACAATGATGGACTAAATTTTTTGTAAATTACGTAAATGTGAAGTGTCGTTTTTTTATGTCACAGTCATTTAGTAATTTTTCTTTTTCACCCATAAAGGAATAGCACACAAATTGGTGTTTGTAAATATTTTGTATACAGTAAACTCTCAATTTAGTGGAAGGAATTATTTCCCTTATTTTCACTTGATTTAGTGAACTAGTTCGCTAAATCGAGCGAAAAAAACGGAAATTCGGTTTAGCGGAAATTTCAATTTAACTGAAAGGTGTGACTCGAATTGAGAAAATACTGTACAGGTACTGTATTATGAATTCTTAGGTTACAATTTACTGACAGCATAATGCACTACTGACATTTATGATAGGAAATTATAGGTGATGATTAGTACTGTAACAAGTTTAATGATTTATGATAATCTCGTCAGTGTATAGATTGCATTCCTTCTATCCAGGTTTATTTTTTGTAATATCATTGCATAGAGTTGTTATTAGAAACATTTTGTAAATCTACGTACAAAATGAGCAAGGAAAGTAAATATAAGTAGCTGTGCCTTTACGTTGTATGTCGTAAACCTTCTTAAATTTGTAGCTTGACATACTTAACCCACAGAATGACATTACAGTGTGTTATTGTTGATTATTGACTCCTTCACCGTCACTTATGTAAACACCTCCTTGCCATGAGCCTCGAGATGGTGATAATTATTTATAATGTGCTTCTTGGTAGTTATTATTTTTATATTGTACACGTGAGTTATTTTCTCAACTGATTATACACTAAATTTGAATGATCTAAGAACTGGTTTGTGTTATTAACTCGGTGTTGTAGCTGTATCCATTGTATTGTATGGCGGGAAGTGTACCATCCTTCACAAATGTCAAATTACCACAACTCTTCTTTGTTTAATGAGGCCATATTGATACTGATTCCACACTTGCTCAGAATTTTTCCCCATATTTGTGTAAACTTTACTTCTTTTCTGGGTTAAGAATTGCTGCATGAACTCCCACATTTTAATGCATGTCTGTAACTCTGAACCATTTAGTTTCCACCTTTCATCATGCATTAATCTCTTGCCAAATAACCCCTCGCACTTATAACTTAAGGTCATTGTTATTCATACGTGATCAGGTTGACTCATTAAGAGTTGTGGCTTAATACTGTATTCAAAATATGTATACTCAGAGCCTGTAGTGGTACAACCATTAATATAACAAAGAGTATTGTAGGTTCTCCACGTGGTCAGAAGCTGTACTGTATATTACCATTGGGTAGTTAGCCAACCTGATGCACTCTGAGGGGAGTGCACATCACCACTTCCTCATTGGATGCCATAATGTAATGTGTCTTAATTTGTCTTATTTTACCAATTGATTGTAAGAAATGCTTGTGACCTCAGCATATATGTATTCAAGGATCAACGAATCACACTGTTCCCAGCGGGCCATGGTCCCTGTGTGTACATTTTCCTGTCTGCATAATGAGGTCACTTTCTTATTTCCAGTAAAATATATTTAAATATGAATACATTAGTTTTAAATGACAAGGCTAAAGATAGACTGTGAGCTCTAGGAATGTCTGTTTAGAAAAGGAAGTTGCTCTGATGATGCTGCAAGGAAGTTAGTTAGTTAGTTTTGTTTTTTTTAGCTGATTTAGTTTTTTGTACAATATTTCTTCACTGTAATGATAACAAGCTTATGGTTGAATATGTACAACTTAATAGCCTTATATTATACTCAATTGTGATCTTGTCTTACACAGAGTTGCATGCTATATTTATCTGTCTACATGTACTGTAAACTGCTAGTGAATTCCAGATATGAGCTTTAGTCACTAGATATAAGGATCAGAGATTATGTTGCTTAATGATCTCTCTCTTTTTTTTTTATTAATTGGCTCACCTGTTAAACTACCATCAGCATACATGTTGAGCTAATGTTTAACATGTCTGATAGGCTTTGAATAACCTGTCTGTCAATCTGCCAAAAACCTGCCTGCCTTTTTTGTAACTTGTTATCCTTCTCATGGGCTGAATATAAGACATCCTTGTGCCGGGCTGTTATTCTGATGGGCAGTAAGTCGGCAAGGCTGCTGTTGATCTTTTTTCAGTTTTGTGTCAAGTTGTTAACCAGGCTCATATCAGGTGCTTGCTAGGCTCTTGCATCCCTGACTGCTGGGGTGCATCTAGCCTACATGCCAGGTTGCTATTAACCTATCAGCTAGGCTGCTAACAATATTTTTCTCATAGCTGCTACAACGAATATAAACTTATATTAAGGTAATGACTCTATATGTTGTACAATATTCCCTCTAAGGAGTTACTGTGAGGTGATTAATATAACCATGAGTGCTATGAGGTTGCTCTCAAGGGACACAAATGCCAATATTATTTATGACCCAGTTAACCAGATTCCGAATAATTATTTAGTATACATAAGATTTATTTCACTTTGCTGCTCATTCCATTTATTTATGTAACACACTGTACACTTGTAACAGTAAGTCTTGAGACTGAACATTAGTTTAAGATGACTGTTGTGTGGAGTAAGAGCTTATTTTGTTCTTAGTCTACAGCAGGACAGCATGAACATTATGTCTTCAACACTACCCGATCATGGTATAGTACTACTCCCCATCAACACTTTTTACTTGTTCATTATTGCATAACTCACTCATATATTCCTTCCTCTTTCGTTAAGGAATGTTGATTTTTGTTCCATACCCGTCATACTGGACTTTATTGGGTTGCTGCTTGTCGGGAATTGATACAGACCTGTTGTATCATGTGCATCACTCTGGGAGTAGTTGAATTCTTATGCTCTATACCATGTCCATCATTTGATTCTTTTTACCGCATGAGAATTTTTTCATTGCTTGAAGTTGAATTTTGTATCCTGTATTGAAGAAGCTTGTGTCCATTGTTCTTTGCATTCATTCATTCACTGGAACTTGTCTTGAGTGCTGCTCTTCCTTTGCACCAGTTCAGCTACTTCCGTGCTTGCTCACATTGGCATTAGGTACTTCTTTTATGTACCTCATAATCATCTGGTCATCTCCATGCACTGTGCTATGATGAGATCGTTGGTGTCTTGCTCTCCAGGACCCCAAATGCATCAGTTAACCGAGAGATTTTCTGACCACAACAGACGCGTTAACATTGATAGGTGTAATTCATGTGTTGTAATATATATTGGTTGTCCTGTATATAATCTTACTTACTCAGTAGCCAAATTGTGCAATATAGTTACAGTACTTATAGTATTATATTTTTGTTTTTACTCAGCCAAGTTAATTATTAGTTATCCTAAACTAAGGTGACACATAACATTAGTGTGACCTGAGGATACAGCCAACAGAGCTTCATAACATTTGGAGGGGCCATTGAATCTGAGTTGTTTAACCTACTTGAATATGTACTGGTTGTTTTTTATTGTATTATGAGTAATTATTTTCTCTACTCTGACTTGTAGCTGTTGGGTACCTCATACTTATTCTGGCTTCAGTCTTTTAAGCTGTCTTCACTCATTAGGCCAGTCTTTTAAAAGTGTATTCCCATCTCAGTATAAGTAAGGAATGTTTCCTCCAAATATTAGCATTGAGATTTATTGACGCTCTTCTCATCGGTTTAGTTCATTTTTGCATACAAGAAGAGCCACTGAATTAGACATGTCCTGTATGACTTGTGTTCAGTATTTACAGTAACAGACTGATGACATACATTAAAAAAAATAAACAGGTGTTGTAAAACATCTCTGGTACGTCAAGAGTCCATTAATGTGAAGTACAGTACAGTATTTCTCCACCAGCCCTCAACCTTTTCTGTTGCCTCTCACCAAAATTTATATAAAGTCTCTTATTTCCAAAGTATTTTGTTAATCATATGTTAGAACTAACTACAGAGAAATATACCCAGTAATAATTTACTAATTCTTATTAGATTATGTTGTTCTAATTTACACTGTCTGTAGATTCTTGAAATTTTGCAATTGTTATTTTTGTCTGAGTATTGAGTGGGTCATGTTATTG